CCAAATTTTGATATTTTCGAAACCTAACTGAATACATTTTCTTGTAGATTTCGAACCCTAGAACTCACTTCCGGCCTCGATTTTTTGATAGCTGCAACCGTTTCTCCAGAATCGGCGGTTGAAATATCGGAATTTTTGAAATTGTCAAAAATTCGCAATTTTGAATCGATTCTTTCGAAAATGTCGCTCCGCGACCATCAACAGGCTATAGTTTTGGAATCAGCACGTCGAGATCTACGTCCCTGAATTTTTTCAAAATTTTTAGACGACTTTTTTTAAATCGAAAATTTTCCAATGGTCCCCCCTTCTTCAAATTTCGGCCAAATTTTGACAATTTCGAAAACTAACTGAATACATTTTCTTGTAGATTTCGAGCCCTAGAACTCACTTCCGGCCTCGATTTTTTGATAGCTGCAACCGTTTCTCCAGAATCGGCGGTTGAAATATCGAAATTTTTGAAATTTTGAAAAATTTGCAATTTCGTACAGATTCTTTCGAAAACGTCTCTCAGCGACCATCAACAAGCTATATTTTTGGAATCAGCACGTCGAGATCCACGTCCCTGAATTTTTTCACAATTTTTAGACGACTTTTTTTAAAATCGAAAATTTTCCAATGGTCCCCCCTTCTTCAATTTTCGGCCAAATTTTGACATTTTCGAAACCTAACTGAATACATTTTCTTGTAGATTTCGAGCCGTAGAACTCACTTCCGGCTTCGATTTTTTGATAGCTGCAACCGTTTCTCCAGAATCGGCGGTTGAAATCTCGAAATTTTTGAAATTTCTAAAAATTCGCAATTTCGTACCGATTCTTTCGAAAATGTAGCTCCGCGACCATCAACAGGCTATATTTTTGGAATCAGCACGTCGAGATCTACGTCCCTGAATTTTTTCACAATTTTTAGACGACTTTTTAAAATTGAAAATTTTCCAATGGTCCCCCCTTCTTCAATTTTCGGCTAAATTTTGACATTTTCGAAACCTAACTGAATACATTTTCTTGTAGATTTCGAGCCCTAGAACTCACTTCCGGCCTCGATTTTTTGATGGCTGTAACCGTTTCTCCAGAATAGGCGGTTGAAATATCGAAATTTTTGAAATTTCCAAAAATTCGCAATTTTGTATCGATTCTTTCGAAAATGTCGCTCCGCGATCATCAACAGGCTATATTTTTGGAATCAGCACGTCGAGATCTACGTCCCTGAATTTTTTCACAATTTTTAGACGACTTTTTTTAAATCGAAAATTTTCCAATGGTCCCCCCTTCTTCAATTTTCGGCCAAATTTTGACATTTTCGAAACCTAACTGAATACATTTTCTTGTAGATTTCGAGCCCTAGAACTCACTTCCGGCCTCGATTTTTTGACAGCTGCAACCGTTTCTCATGAATCGGCGGTTGAAATATCGAAATTTTTGAAATTTCCAAAAATTCGCAATTTTGTATTGATTCTTTCGAAAATGTCGCTCCGCGACCACCAACAGGCTATATTTTTGGAATCAGCACGTCGAGATCTACGTCCCTGAATTTTTTCACAATTTTTAGACGACTTTTTAAAATTGAAATTTTTCCAATGGTCCCCCCTTCTTCAAATTTCGGCCAAATTTTGACATTTTCGAAAACTAACTGAATATATTTTCTTGTAGATTTCGAGCCGTAGAACTCACTTCCGGCCTCGATTTTTTGATAGCTGCAACCGTTTCTCCGGAATCGGCGGTTGAAATATCGAAATTTTTGAAATTTCCAACAATTCGCAATTTCGTATCGATTCTTTCGAAAACGTTGCTCCGCGACCATCAACAGGTTATATTTTTGGAATCAGCACGTCGAGATCTACGTCCCTGAATTTTTTCACAATTTTTAGACGTCTTTTTAAAATTGAAATTTTTCCAATGGTCCACCCTTCTTCAATTTTCGGCCAAATTTTGACATTTTCGAAACCTAACTGAATATATTTTCTTGTAGATTTCGAGCCCTAGAACTCACTTCCGGCCACGATTCTTTGATAGCTGCAACCGTTTCTCCAGAATCAGCGGTTGAAATATCGAAATTTTTGAAATTTCAAAAAATTCGCAATTTCGTATCGATTCTTTCGAAAATGTCGCTCCGCGACCACCAACATGCTATATTTTTGGAATCAGCACGTCGAGATCCACGTCCCTGAATTGTTTCAAAATTTTCAGACGACTTTTTTTAAATCGAAAATTTTCCAATGGTCCCCCCTTCTTCAATTTTCGGCCAAATTATGACATTTTCGAAACCTAACTGAATACTTTTTCTTGTAGATTTCGAGCCCTAGAACTCACTTCCGGCCTCGATTTTTTGATAGCTGCAACCGTTTCTCCAGAATCGGCGGTTGAAATATCGAAAGTTTTGAAATTTCCAAAAATTCGTAATTTTGTATCGATTCTTTCGAAAATGTTGCTCCGCGACCATCAACAGGCTATATTTTTGGAATCAGCACGTCGAGATCAATGTCCCTGAATTTTTTCACAATTTTTAGACGACTTTTTATAATTGAAATTTTTCCAATGGTCCCCCCTTCTTGAATTTTCGGCCAAATTTTGACATTTTCGAAACCTAACTGAACACATTTTCTTGTAGATTTCGAACCCTAGAACTCACTTCCGGCCTCGATTTTTTGATAGCTGCAACCGTTTCTCCAGAATCGGCGGTTGAAATATCGAAATTTTTGAAATTTCCAAAAATTCGCAATTTCGTGCCGATTCTTTCGAAAATGTCACTCCGCGACCATCAACAGGCTACATTTTTGGAATCAGCACGTCGAGATCTACGTCCCTGAATTTTTTCACAATTTTTAGACGACTTTTTAAAATTGAAATTTTTCCAATGGTCCCCCCTTCTTCAAATTTCGGCCTAATTTTGACATTTTCGAAACCTAACTGAACACATTTTCTTGTAGATTTCGAACCCTAGAACTCACTTCCGTCCTCGATTTTTTGATAGCTGCAACCGTTTCTCCAGAATCGGCGGTTTAAATATCGAAATTTTTGAAATTTTGAAAAATTCGCAATTTCGTACCGATTCTTTCGAAAATGTCGCATCGCGACCATCAACAGGCTATATTCTTGGAATCAGCACGTCGAGATCTACGTCCCTGAATTTTTTCACAATTTTTAGAAGACTTTTTAAAATCGAAAATTTTCCAATGGTCCCCCCTTCTTCAATTTTCGGCCAAATTTTGACATTTTCGAAACCCAACTGAATACATTTTCTTGTAGATTTCGAACCCTAGAACTCACTTCCGGCCTCGATTTTTTGATAGCAGCAACCGTTTCTCCAAAATCGGCGGTTGAAATATCGAAATTTTTGAAAATTCCAAAAATTCGCAATTTTTAATCGATTCTTTCGAAAATGTCGCTCCGCGACCATCAACAGGCTATATTTTTGGAACCAGCACGTCGAGATCTACGTCCCCGAATTTTTTCACAATTTTTAGACGACTTTTTAAAATTGAAATTTTTCCAATGGTCCCCCTTCTTCAATTTTCGGCCAAATTTTGACATTTTCGAAACCTAACTGAACACATTTTCTTGTAGATTTCGAACCCTAGAACTCACTTCCGGCCTCGATTTTTTGATAGCTGCAACCGTCTCTCCAGAATCGGCGGTTTAAATATCGAAATTTTTGAAATTTTGAAAAATTCGCAATTTCGTACCGATTCTTTCGAAAATGTCGCACCGCGACCATCAACAGGCTATATTTTTGGAATCAGCACGTCGAGATCTACGTCCCTGAATTTTTTCACAATTTTTTAGACGACTTTTTTTAAAATCGAAATTTTTCCAATGGTCCCCCCTTCTTCAAATTTCGGCCAAATTTTGACATTTTCGAAAGCTAACTGAATACATTTTCTTGTAGATTTCGAACCCTAGAACTCACTTCCGGCCTCGATTTTTTGATAGCTGCAACCGTTTAACCAGAATCGGCGGTTGAAATATCGAAATTTTTTAAATTTCCAAAAATTCGTAAATTCGTACCGATTCTTTCGAAAATGTCGCTCCGCGACCATCAACAGGCTATATTTTTGGAATCAGCACGTCGAGATCTACGTCCCTGAATTTTTTCACAATTTTTTAGACGACTTTTTTTAAAATCGAAAATTTTCCAATGGTCCCCCCTTCTTCAATTTTCGGCCAAATTTTGACATTTTCGAAACCTAACTGAAAACATTTTCTTGTGGATTTCGAACCCTAGAACTCACTTCCGGCCTCGATTTTTTGATAGCTGCAACCGTTTCTCCAGAATCGGCGGTTGAAATATCGAAATTTTTGAAATTTCGAAAAATTCGCAATTTTGTACCGATTCTTTCGAAAATGTCGCTCCGCGACCATCAACAGGCTATATTTTTGGAATCAGCACGTCGAGATCTACATCCCTGAATTTTTTCACAATTTTTAGACGACTTTTTAAAATTGAAATTTTTCTTTTCTTCAATTTTCGGACAAATTTTTTCTTTTTTGTTGTTTCTTGTGTGGCCTTCTTTTGTCTCTATGACAAAGATGTCAATGCCAAATAATGACAAACTTGAAAAAATTAATACTCAATTTATTAATGGATCAGATTACAAGGAAAACTAATTTTTAATAATTAAGTGTATAATGTGTTGCCTACACAAAACTTTTCAACCGTGAACAGATAAAATAATAACACTGTAGTCTTTTGGGGTTGCATTAGTGTTTGTTGCGTTTTTAGAGCCTTTTTTCAGTATTTTTGTTACTTGTTTTGTCAGTTTTTCTATTGTTGTGAATGTTTATTCCATTGCTTCATTTAATTTTCTGCGTAATCGTAGCTTTAGTATAGAACTGGTTGCTACAAAGTTGGCTTAATATGGGCATGAAATTAATAATAACCACGCATTTTTGTGTATATTAACGACCAAAATTTAGCCATTTTTTGTCGACATTCAAACTTCCCGCTTCGTTCAAACTCGCCGTTGACATTCCCGCCATCCTCCCGCGCCAGCGCCTCTCCCGTCCACCGCCCAAACTAACCATAAATAACAAGACCAAAGCAATGATTATTGTGTTTACAAGACGATTTCGGTGGCAAATTTATGGTGCTTAGCGTGGTGTGGCGCGTATCGCGTGTTCCCGAAAAATCCCCAACTATTTAATCGCCCCCCGACAATACCAAAGTGATGCTAAGCAGACAGACTCGACCGTCTAGTGCGCTTTAATTTCACATCAATAACCGTGCATATAACGTGTACATAGCATCGCAATAACAAATAGGTGCCCGTGGCGCTAAACCATTCCAGAAGCACGCTATGGAATAGCGATCCCCTGTATAATGGGCAAGATCAACAACAAGAGCGGAGTGGAAATAATCCCCTTGAATGAGGTAAACTACAGGAATAATCGCACCAACGCCGCAAACACTAGCGTACAACGCACAAAGATGGATAGGTTACCGTACATGTCGGATCCGACCATCGTGCCGAGGGTACAAAAGGTAAAATGGGCGAAAATGCCGGGAAAACGTGCTCGGAGACCATGAAATTGACGGTCAAGAGTGCCGTGCCTGAGGGATAATGTCACTTTTGACACTTGTCAATTTTGTGGTTAGGATTCTGAAATGGGGTAACGGGCGTTTTTTTAGTATTTGGAGTCGAACGTGGACAAGACTTTCGTGGATATTAATGTGATGGCTGATGATCTGCAGAGGACGTACCGGGAGTACGCCAGGTTGAAGAGGAACGCGTTTCGAGCGTCGGTTAAGAAAGCGTATTCGATCGTATTGCAGAGCTATGGCTTGGAGGATCAGGATAATAGCTCGAGCGATGATGATGATGATAGCGAGGATAGCGCTACTGAGGAAGGAAATAATTTTGTATGTTTATTATATGTAGATTTTTGGGTGGATGGGGGTGAGGTAATGTCTATGTGTGGCGTTTTAGGGTTTTTTTTTTTACAAACGATTGATTGGTGGGTCTCGTTATTTATTAAGTACAATTTGTGCAAAAGTATGGAACTAGTTAAAATATTCACGTTATTGGTTTCAATTTTATGTGATGTCTGGCGATTTTGAATTTCCCGCACTAGTTGAAACGGGTAAATAGTTTCATGTACAAACCAAAAAACCCCGTTTGTGTGACTGCATACCTGTTGAAATTTTTCTAAATCTGTACAGTAAGAAAAAAAATTAATATCATAACCTCACTTTCGTTGTTTAACCTCGTTGAAAACTACTATTTCACTCCTTTAAAAAATCATACCAACATTTAAATGTTAAAATGTTACTAAGATGTAAAATTGCTATTTAATAATTTTACATTCTATTTTCAGTCATTTTCTTTGATTGGAAAGTTGAAGCCATAAAAAATTGATGCAATAGTTTTTTTTTGCAAATTCGTAAGCGTAATTTTGTGTCTCATCCCGATTCGGTGGGACGTTGCTGTGACGTCACGCTCTAATTTAAGCACTTGATCATCAAATCTATAAATGCTGTGTTTACAATTTTTGTGTTATAAAATTTTAATAATAATAATTACAAATTTTCACTTCAATTAAATATTAACCATGTCAGTTTTGACAACGGAATAAGGTGGAGTTACAGGTCTGCCAATTTCAATTAAAATTCATTGATACCAACATAAACAGTACTTGTTGTACTGCTGCCTTATTTTTAGCAGGAAATTCTCTATTGTTTGGAGTAATCGATCCAAATTGTTAAAAAACTTCAATATTTTAACGAAATTAAGAAAAAATCATCTTTGTTTCAATTAATTTCTCATAATTTTTATTTAGTTTTTAAAACGATGGATTATAAGTTAAAAAATCGCGGCCCATTCATAAATCACAAATTTAGGGTTTTATTAGACATATAATCAACGAAACTACTGGACCGATTGTTGTCAAATTTTACATGTCTGTTGTGTATGTCTGTTGTGTCACTAACCAAAATTTGTACAATCAGTGATCCCATCAATGATGGGATGACGTCATATCCAAAATTTGCCATAGTAAGTGTAATTTAAATTTTGTGTATTTTAAGTGACATACCCTTGGGCTTGTAGTTTATGAATCCGTGTTGAGTTTTTACCCTAGACATCCAGATTTTTGGGAAAAGAAAATCAAAATTGTATATCAACATTTTACAAATTCATTTTGAAATTGCAAAACCGAATGCTCTGGAATCTTGTGAAGATTTTAAGGTAATCAGAAACATGTAAATCGTTAATCAAAATTTATTTATCTGATGACGTCATTTTACAGTTCTGCAGAAAACATTCAAAATTTTATAATTTTATATTCCGTTTGAATTTTTTTTTTATTATTATACAAACTACCATATTTCAATTATTGACGATTCTGGAAAATTGGTAGTATTTTTTTTTTGTTTTTATGAATTTTTGATCTCTAGTTTTTCTAGTTCCCAATCTAAAATTTTTAAATTTTTCATTATTTCAACATTCGCATTTTTCAAGTTTTGGATTTATTGATTTTTCGTTTTTTAATTTTACACCGTTGCAATTATTGTTCGATTTTTCATTTAGATTTTTTAATTTTTCAATATTCCAGTGTTACAATTTTTGAATTTTGGATTTTACAATTTTTTGTTTATTCAGGTTTTCAATTTCTGAATTTTTCGATATTTTAGTTTTGAAATTTGTCAATTTTATATTTTTCCGATTTTGGCAATTTTTGGATTTTCACTTTTCTGATTTTTGAGTTGCATTTTTCGACTTTGGTTTTTCGATTTTTTTGCTTTTTTTTGGTTTTAAAGAATATCGGTTTTTAGTTTTTAGCTTTTCTAATTTTTTGTTTCTTCAATTTTTGGATGTGCTTTTTTGATTTTTCGATTGTTAGATTGTTTTGGGTTTTTGAAAATTTCCGATAGTTAGTTTTTCAATTTTTTAGTTTTCGTTTCTTAAATTTTTCGATTTGTAGTGTTTTTAGATATTTTAGTTTTTCGGTTTTTCAATTTTGTCGAAAAAACTTTCTTTAAATTTTATGAGATAACACTCCACTTGTGATATATGAATCCGTGAAGTTTATACATGTTTTCACAAAAAAAAAACACAAAATTAAATTTTATATTTCGTTTGAAAGTAATTTTTTTTCAAAATTAAACAAACCTTCATATTTCAATTATTGTCGATTTCGGAAAAATTGTGGGAATTTTAAGAAAAGTGGGGCCGAAAATAAAAAAATAAAATTGATAGGAGGAAGAGTATTGAAAAATTGGGATTATTGAAAAGTTGACAAAAAATCTACAAAAAATTCCGAGATGTAGATTTCAACATGCTAATTCGAAAAATGTAAAGAATTTATTGTTTTTAACTTTTTCGTTTTATTGAATTTTTTATTTTTAGTTTTTCAAGTTCCCTATGTAAAATTTTCAAATTTTTCGATTTTTCAACATTCGAATTTTTCAATTTTTTAATTTTTGGATTTTACAATTTTTTGTTTATTTAAGTTTTCTCAACTTCTGTATTTTTCTATTTTTACTTCCCGAGCGTAAGCAAAGGAAGTATTGTAATCGAGTCCGTCGGCCGACTCTCTACTTTTACGTTTTCTCGATCTTTTATGACCCCTAGAAGACGAAGAAATAGGTCTCCCATTTCCGTCTGTCTGTCCGTCTGTCCGTCTGTCCGTCTGTCCGTCTGTCCGTCTGTTGTCACGGATTTTTATTAGACAGATAATCTCCGAAAGTACTCGACCGATTGTTGTGAAATTTTGTACTTATATTAAGAATATCATGTAGATGGTAAAACGCTAACCAAAATTTGTCGAATCATCCCCACCACTAAAGCGATGACGTCACTTCAAAATTGTACATAGTAAATGGGTTTTCAATTGTATAAAATAACATAGTCCTACACATGTAGTTTACAACTCTGAATCGACTTTTCACCCGAAACGTCCAGATTTTTGGAAAAAAAATCAAAATTATAAAACAACATTTTGAAATTTAATTTTTAATCTGCTAACCAGAATGCTTTGAAATGTTGCAGATGTTTTAAGGCTATAAAGAGCATCATAAATCTTTAGTCAAAAAATATTTGCTTATCCCCTCCAAAAACTTGATGACGTCAGCTCAAAAGTTTGTGGAATAAATCATATCTAAAATGTACAAAATGTGATGAGTCTGTACTTGTGAACTATCACTCCATTAATATTTTTTGGATTTGCATATACAGGGTGACTCAAAAAAATTAATGAATGCGTAAATATATTTTATTGATTTAATCAGGAACTACAAAACCGAATGCTCTGAAATCTTGCAGATGTTTTAAGGTCATAAAGAGCATAATAAATGTTTAGTCAAAATATATTTGCTTATCCCCTCCAAAAACTTGATGACGTCAGCTCGAAAATTTTCCGAATAAATCATATCTAAAATGTACAACATATGATGAGCCTGTACTTGTCATTTATCACTCCATTCATATTTTTTGGATTTGCATATACAGAGTGACTCAAAAAAATTAATGAATGCGTAAATTTATTTTATTGATTTAATCAGGAACTACAAAACCGAATGCTTTGAAATCTTGCAGATGTTTTAAGGTTATAAAGAGCATAATAAATTTTTAGTCAAAATATATGTATTTGGTTATCTTCTACAAAAAACTGATGACGTCAGCTCAAAAGTTTTCCGAATAAATCGTATCTAAAATGTACAAAATATGATGAGTCTGTACTTGTGATTTATCATTCCATTCATATTTTTAGATTTGCATATGCAGGGTGACTCAAAAAAATTAATGAAGGTGTGAATTTATTTTATCGATTTAATCAGGAATTACAAAACCGAATGCTTTGAAATCTTGGGAATATTTTAAAGTTATTATAAGCATGGTAAACTTTTGTTCAAAATGTATTTGTTCATCCCTCCTAAAAAAATTGATGACGTCACCCTTAAATTTTGCTGAATAAATCCTATCTAAAATGCAAAAAATATGATGAGTTTGTACTTGTGATTTATCATTCCATTCATATTTTTTAGATTTTCTTAAGAGGTGGTTCAAAAAAATTAATGAAGTCAATTTATTTTATTGATTAAATTAAAGGCAACACTTATTATTAGTATTACACCCCAACCAACCCAATTTGGTAGACACAAAATTTGTTAAAGGAAAAACTCGGTTGAAACATAAGGGTAGCACGCTTATTTACATCGACTTTAACATTACAGACCTGCATTTGTTTTATGCGTTCACTTGATTCCGCGAATGTGAAATAGACATGTTTATAATCAACCAATTGTGAATTTCACCGTCAAGAATTAAAATAAAACCCAATGTTTTATATAATAAGCGGAAGTCGAAGCAATAAAACCGACGGTCGTTTTGTTTACAGTTTCTGTGTTTGGCTCTCACGTATGCTGTTACGCCTGTCATCTTAAATTAAGAATGTTTATACATACACGATTTTCAGTTGCCTCTGATACGTAGGTATACGTGAGTAAATTGTTTCGTTATTTTATTGATTATTACAAATCAATATTCAAACGACCCAATTCATTTTCCCGAAAATTTGAGAATATAATAATTTTATTCTTAGTATTACACTACATCTATCCCAACTGATATACGTGTCCTTGCAAAAATGTTGATGACGTCATCGCAATTTTTTTTTAAATTCCCACTACAAAAATGTAATGAGAAAAAAAACACAATAGGCATGCAGTCGTCAAGTTTCCGACAGCGAGGGAAGTACTGTCTAAACTCTTTAGACCAATTTTTTAGTTTTTAAATTTGTCAGTTTTTTTGTTCCGATTTTGGCAATTTTTGGATTTTCACTTCTGATTTTTGAGTTGTTGCACTTTTCGTCTTGTATTTTTTTCGATTTTAAAGAAGGTTTTTGGCTTTTCCATTTTTTCGTTTCTTCAATTTTTTGGATAAGTATTTTTTCGATTTTTTAGTTGTTAGATTGTTCAATTTTTACGATTTTCCAATTATTGCATTTTTCGGCTTTTTGGTTTTAGGGTTTTTTTCTTACATTTTTTTTAGTTTTATAAAAAGAAGTTATTTTTTTACTTTATCGTTTGATTGAATTTTTAAATTTTTCAACATTCTAATTTTTCAATTTTTATAGTTTTGGATGTTTTGATTTCTCGTTTTTTAATCTTACGCCTTTGCAATTATTGTTCGATTTTTCAATTAGATTTTTTTATTTTTTAATATTTCAGTGTTGTATTTTTCAGCTTTTTGGTTCTAGGATTTTTTGTTGCTTTTTTGATTTTTAAAATTTTTCGATATTTAGATTCTTTTTTTTTCTTAGATTTTTCGATTTTTAGTTTTTTACCTTTTTTTATTTTACAGTTTCGCAAATTCCCGATTTTTCAATTTTACGATTTTTTCGTTTTACAGTTTTTCGATTTTTCGGTTCTTCAGTTTTTTGATTTATAGATTTTCCAGTTTCCAATTTGAAGTTTTTGTATTTTTCGAGTTTTGTTTTGATTTTTTAGCTTCTCATTTTTTTATTTTCCAATTTTTCAAGAGTTGAACTTTTTTATTTTTTAATTTTACGTTTTTGCAGTTGAGATTTCTCTATGTACATATAAATTTTTCAATTTTTGATTTTTCCGATTTTTCGATTTTTTAACTTTATTTTTAATTTTTGATTTTTTTTAATTTGGAACTTTTTGGATTTTCAATTTTCCAATATTTGAGTAGTTGCATTTTTCGGCTTTTCAGTTTTTCGATTTTTTTGGTTAAAAAATTTTCGATTTTTGGTTTTCAGCTTTTTCAATTTTTAGGTTTCGTTTTTTTTTGATTTTTCAATTGTTGCATTTTTCGGCTTTTTGGTTTTGGGTTTTTTTCTATTGCTTTTTTTTTGTTTTAAAGTTTGTCGATTTGTAGTTTTTTGTCGTTTTTATTTTACAATTTTTTTATTTAAAAAATTTTCAGTTTCTCAGTTTTTAGATATTTTGTGGAAAAAACTTTCTTTAAACGTTATAAAGTAACACTCCACTTGTGATTTATGAATCCGTGAAGTTTATACATGTTATCACCAAAAAAAAACGCAAAATTAGATTTTATATTCCGTTTGAATTTTTTTTTTTTTCAAAATTATACAAAGTATCATATGTATTTCAATTATTCACGATTCTGGAAAAATGGTAGGAATTTTAAGAGAAATGGAACCGAAAATAACTTCTGGGGGTCAAAGTAGAAAAAAAGTCTGGTAAATTTTCCAAGGTGGGTGAAAAATGATCAAAAATTTGATAGATAGGAGAGTATTAAAAAGTTGCCAATTCGAAAAATATAAAGAATTTATTGTTTTGAACTTTTTTCTTTTGATTGAATTTTTGATTTGTCGTTTTTGTAGTTCCCTGTCTAAAATTTTTAAACTTTTCGATTTTTCAACATTCGAATTTTTCAATTTTTGAAGTTTTGGATTTTTTGATTTTCCGTTTTATATTTTACATCTTTGCAATTATTGTTCAATTAGATTTTTTAATTTTTTAATATTTCAGTGCAATTTTTGGATTTTAAAAATTTTCATTTGTTCAGCTTTTCAATTTCTGAATTTTTCGATTTTATAGTTTTCAGATTTTTCAAAAGAGATTTTTCAATTTTTGATTTGTATCTTTTCTATTTTTCAATTGTTCAACATTTCGATTTTTTATTTGGTTTTTCAATTCCTCAAGTAAATTTTTCCGATTTTCTAATAATTACATTTTTTGGCTTTTTGGTTTTAGGATTTTTTGTTGCTGTTTTGGTTTTTTAAATTTTTCGATTCTTTTTTGTTTCTTAAAGTAAATTTTTCCGATTTTCTAATAATTACATTTTTTGGCTTTTTGGTTTAAGGATTTTTTGTTGTGTTTTGTTTTTTTTAATTTTTCGATCTTTTTTGTTTCTTAAATTTTTCGATTTGTAGTTTTTTGTCTTTTGTTTATTTTACAGTTTTGCAAATTCTCGATTTTTCAATTTTACAATTTTTTGATTTGACACTTTTTCAGTTTCTCAGTTTTTAGGTATTTTAGTTTTTCGGTTTTTCAATTTTGCGATTTTTCGTTTCTCGGATTTTTTAAGTTTTTCGTTCCTTCAGTTTTTTGATTTGTAGTTTTTCTAGTTTCCAATTAATGTTTTTATATTTTTCGAGTTTTGTTTTTATTATTTAGCTTCCCCGTTTTTTACTTTTTTGCCTTTCATTTTTTTATTTTCGAATTTTTCAAGATTTGAACCTTTTTATTTTTCGTTTTTTGAGTTTTACGTTTTTGCAATTGATGTTCGATTTCTTACTTTACTAGTTTTAAATTTCTCAATTTTGCAATTGAAATTTCTTCATGTATTTATAAATTTTTCAATTTTTGATTTTTCTCATTTTTCAATTTTTCGATTTTTCAACTATTGTAATTTTTGATTTTTTGATTTTTTTAATTTGATAATTTTTAGATTTTCAATTTTCCAATATTTGAGTAGTTGCATTTTTCGATTTTTTTACATTTTTTTTGGTTTTAAAAAAGTTCCGGTTTTTGTTTTTAGTTTTTTCGATTTTTAGATTTGTACTTTTTGGACTTTTCAATTGTTAAATTGTTCAATATTTCGATTTTTTATTGTAGCAATTTTTGGATTTTCAAAATTTCAATAGTAAATTTTACCGATTTTGCAATTGTTGCGTTTTTGGGCTTTTTGGTTTTAGGATTTTTTTATTTTCAAATTTTTTCGATATTTAGTTTTTAAATTATTTAGTTTCTCGTTTCTTAAGTTTTTCGATTTCGTAGTTTTTCGTCTTTTTTTTATTTTACAATTTTATAATTTTTTGATTTTACATATTTTCAGTTTCTCAGTTTTTAGACATTTTAGCTTTTCGGTTTTTCAATTTTGTCGAAAAAATTTTCTTTAAATTTTATAAGGTAACATACCCCTCCACTTGTGATTTATGAATTCGTGACGTTTGTACATGTTATCACAAAAAAATCGCAAAATTAAATTTTATGATCCGTTTGAATTTTTTTTTTTTCAAAATTATACAAACTATCATTTCAGTTACTGTGGATTCTGGAAAAATGGTAGGAATTTTAAGAGAAATGGAACCGAAAATAACTTCTGGAGGTCAAAGTAGAAAAAAAAGTGTGGCAACTTTTTCCTTTGACTGAATTTTTAAAATTTTTCGATTTTTCAACATTCCAATTTTTCAAGTTTTAGATTTTTTGATTTTCCGTTTTTTTTATGTTACGTCTTTGCAATTATTGTTCGATTTCAGGGTTGCAATTTTTGGATTTTAAAATTTTTCGTTTGTTTTGCTTTTCAGTTTCTGAATTTTTTATTTGTATTTTTTCGATTTTCCAATAATTGCATTTTTCGGCTTTTTGGTTTTAGGATTTTGTGTTGCTTTTTCTTGTTTTTACAATTTTTCGATATTTAGAGATTGTCTTAATTTGGAAATTTTTCAAATTTTAGATTTGAATTTTTTTGATTTCCAATTTTTGAATAGTGATTTTTTTCGGCTTTTTGGTTAAGATTTTTTTGTTGCATTTTTTTGTTTTTGAAATTTTCCGATATTTTAGTTTTTCAGTTCCTCATTTCTTAATTTTTTCACAAAATGTCTTTAAATTTTATAAAGTAATATACTCCTGCACTTGTGATTTCTGAATCCGTGAAGTTTATACATGTTATCACACAAAAAAAAAAACACAAAATTAAATTTTATATTTGGTTTGAAAGTAAATTTTTTACAATTTTAAAAATTACAAACAAAATGCGTAGCTATTCTTCGAAAGTGGTTGAAAATGATGAAAAATTTCACAAGGTAGTTATTGAAAGATTGAGGTTTTGGAAAAATGGTCTAAAAATCCAAAAAAAAATTGGAAAATAGATCTCGACGTGCCGATTTTAAAAATAAAGCGTGTTTATGGTTCGTAACAAAAAAATTCGAAATATTCGGTTTGGATGTCAAATTTTTTAAAAATTCAAAAATTTCTCAAATTTCAATTGGCGATTCTGGGGAAGTGGTAGGATTTTTCGATGAAATGAAGCCGAAAATAATTTCTGAGGATTGATTGAAATCGATACGAAAATGTTGTCAAAACATGAAATTACAGTTCTACATTTTTTTTCTTGTAAAGTGATCATGAAACGAATTTTTTTTTACAAATAAAGAATCTGGGGAACATTAAAAAGTTAAAAAATTTGTAGTTTGTTAGTATTAAAAAATGATTACACTAAAAATTATTATTACTATATTAAGGGGGCGTTTAACGAAATTCTTTCAAAAACCATTGCCAACTAAACACTTTTTTTATATAAAAAACTAGATACTCCTACTTTTTATTTGATAGACTTTTTAATTTGTTTTTGGTAGAATAAAATTTTCAAGTATACAGAAAAAGAGAAAGATATGACAAAATTTTCCTTGATTTTTTTATAAATGCTGAGGGCCAGTTAATTTTTAAAAATTGGTTAAAATAGAAACGTTTTTTAGATATAGATTTTTAATAGAGTTTTATTTTTTTTTCTAAATTATTATTTTTTTAACTGAAAGACCAATATAATTAAACTGTTGAATGCCCCCTTAAACCCGAAATTCCAAAATCATCAAAAAAGAAAACCTGTAACGACTCTAATTTGTTTTCAGAACAGCAAAGAAGTCGGGCAACACTTTTTATTATCTGTAAGTTCCTTTTTCGTAATACCACCATTTTTATTACCTTCCCCGAAAAATCTTCAAAGGGCAAAAACATGATAAACACTATTGTAACAGAAATTTCACACCAAAAAAAAAGTTTTGTAATATTTAAACCATCCGACCCCTACACTTCTCGTCTTCTTGTAGAACAACTCCCTAAACAACCAACTCGCCAACCTCTACAACCGCCCCCAAGTCCCCAAACAGATCGACGAGAACGAGCTCATCGACATCAGCAGCGACGACTCGGAGGCGGCCGCCCAGCCCTACCCCAACGACAAGCCCAACGGCCCCTCCACGTCCCAGAACAAGGAATCTCAGCCCGTCCCCGTCTACCAAAACAACACTGCCGCCAAGAAACCCGCCGAGAACAAGGACCGCTACCAGTACTTCAACCGTAAGAGGAAAAGCGAGGCCGTGGGGCTCACCCCCTTCCAGAGCACCCCCAAGAAGAAGAAGTCGCTGGCCACCCTCCAGGAGCCCTCCGTGTCCTTCAAGGACCTCGGGGGCATGGATAAGATCCTCGAGGACGTGTGCAAGCTCCTGATTCACGTACGCCACCCGGAGGTGTACAGGCAGATCGGGATCTCGCCGCCGAGGGGATTCCTACTCCACGGCCCCCCGGGGTGCGGAAAAACGCTCCTAGCGAACGCGATAGCGGGGGTTAGTTCCACTTTCTATAAATTTTTGTGTATTTAAATGGGGGTTTGAAGGAAATTGGAGTGCCGTTGCTGAAAGTGGCGGCGCCGGAGCTGGTGGCAGGGGTGTCGGGCGAGAGCGAGGAGAGGATACGGGAGCTGTTCGAGAGGGCGATTTTTTCGACGCCCTGTATACTGTTCATTGACGAGATCGACGCCATCACGCCGAATAGGCAGAACGCGCAGAAGGAGATGGAGAGACGGATTGTGGCTCAGTTGCTGAGTTGTCTCGATGGTGGGTGAACACGTGGCCGCTCCATCTGTTCGATAAACGGACTATATACTTAAATTTTCTTTGTTTTAGATTTAAGTCAGAACGAGTGTGGCGACCGGGTGCTGGTTATCGGTGCTACGAATCGGCCGGACGCTATAGATCCGGCTTTGCGCAGGGCCGGACGGTTCGACCGCGAAATTTGTCTGGGTATACCGGATGTACAATCGAGGGTACAAATTTTAAAGGTTATGACGTCGAAGCTGAAGCTTAGTGAGGATTTTGACTATGACGCTTTGGCGAAGTTCACGCCAGGGTTTGTGGGGGCCGATTTGATGTCGTTGACGAGGGAGGCGGCCATGTCGGCTGTCAATAGGTGAGTTACAGGCGTGACGTCACGTTCAGAGATCAATTGACAACAAATTTTCTCTTCACGATGACCATATGATCAAAAAAATTCTTCTAGTAGGCCATGACATTTATTTTTTGACAGTTATAACAATTTTTAGATTTAATAAGTACATACTTGATTTTCCAATATCTCTTTCCATGACCGACTAGTATAAAGATTACTCTTTCTTATAATTTTTCAATTTTGAATTTTTCAAGTTTTCAATTTGAATTTTTTCTATTTTAAAATTCGTTTTCAGTTGTTCGCCTTTTCATTTGTTAGATGTTTTAATGTTTCGATTTTTCAACCTGTAGATTTTTTTATTTTTCGATTTTAGCAATTAGTTCGATTTTCGAAACAATTTCATTTTTCGACTTTTAGTTTTACGATATTTATTTTGCAATTTATTTGGTTTTTTAAATTTTGTGATATTTAGTTTTTCAATTTTTGGTTTTTAACTTTCAATTTTTCGTTTCTTAAATTTTTCGAAAAATGGTATTTCAGTATTTTAATTTTTCGGTTTTTCAATTTTTCAAGCTTATCGATTTTTACTTTTTAGTTTTTTATTTTTTCATTTTTTGATTTTTACTTTTTCTAGTTTCCATTTAAAATTTTTCAATTTTTGGAGTTTTCAACATTCGAATTTTTCATTTTTCAGGTTTTGGATTATTTTTTAATTTTTTATTTGCAGTTATTGTTCAATTTTTCAATTAGATTTTTTTTTATTTTTCAGTGCTACAATTTTTGGATTTTAAAAATTTTCGTTTATTCAGGTTTTCGATTTCTGAATTTTTGGACTTTTCAGTTTTTCATTTTTTTGCATTTTTTTTTTGGTTTAAAAAAATTTTCGATTTTAGTTTTTAGCTTCTCCAATTTTTCGTTTCTTTAAATATTTGGATTTTTATTTCAACAATTTTTGGATTTTCAATTTTTCGATGGTCAATTTTTCCGAAGTTCCAATTATTGCATTTTTCGACTCTTTGGTTTTAGGATTTTTATGTTGCAATTTCTTTGGTTTTTAACATTTTTCGATATCTAGTTTTTCAATTTTTAGGTTGTAGCTTATTTAGTTTTCCGTTTCTTGAATTTTTCGATTTGTAGTTTTTTTTTTCCAGTTTTAGATGTTTTAATTTCTCAATTTTTCAATTTTGCGATTTTTCGTTTCTCGTTTCTTAGTTTTTTCAAAATTTTCGTATTTCAAGTTTTGATTTATTCAGTTTTTGATCTCCGATTTTTACACTTTTATTTTTTCGGCTTGTTTGTTTCGCCAATTTTTGATTTTTAATTTTCAGATTTTTAGATTTTTGAGTTGTTGCATTTTACGACTATTCAGTTTATCGAATTTTTTTGAATAAAAAAAAATGTCGATTTTAGTCTATAGCTTCTCCAATTTTTCGTTCCTTCAATTTTTGGATTTTAATTTTTCGATTTTTCAGTTAGATTTTTCAATGTTTCGATTTTTTATTTTAGCATTTTTTGGATTTTCAATTTCTCAATAGTGAATTTTCCAGATTTTCCAATTGTTGCATTTTTCGACCTTTTGGTTTTAGGATTTTTATGTTACAATTTCTTTGGTTTTTAAAATTTTTCGATTTGTAGATTTTTGTTTTTTATTTTACAATTTTTCAATTTCTCGATTTTACAGTTTTTCAGTTTTTTTTTTTTTGGATGTTTTAGTTTTTAAATTTTGCGATTTTTTGTTTCTCGATGTTTTGCTTTTTCGTCTCTTCAGTTTTTTCAAAATTTTTGTATTTTAACTTTTGGTTTATTTAGTTTTTCAGTTTACTAGTTTTTAAATTTTTCGATTTTGCAGTTGAGATTTTTTCATGTTTAAATTTCTGATCTGCGATTTTTCAGTTTTTCAATTTTTCGACTTTTTTATTTTGGCAATTTTTTGATATTCAATTTGAATTTCATTTTTCAACCGTTCAGTTTCTCGAATTTTTTTGATTTTTTTTTATTTTAAAAAAATTTCGGTTTTAGTTTATAATTTTTCCAATTTTTCGCCTCTTCAGTTTTTAGATTTGTAATTTTTCAATTTTTCAGTTACATTTTTCAGTAATTTGATTTTTTATTTTAGCAATTTTTGGATTCTTCAATTTCTCAATAGTCAATTTTTGTGATTTGCCTTTTTAGATTTAGATTTTTTTTATTCCATTTTATTTTGGTTTTTAAAATTTTTCAATTTTTCGTTTCTTGAATTTTTCGATCTGTAGTTTTTAGATTTTTTAATTTTACAATTTTTTAGCTGTATGTTTTTTCAGTATTTTAGTTTTTAGTTATTATAATTTTTCGGTTTTTCAATTTTGCTGTTTCACTTATCAATTTTTAGTTTTCAACTTTTTCGTTTTATTAAATTTTTGATTTGTATTTTTTACTATAAAATAAAATTATAAAATTTTCGAATTTTTCGATTTTTCAACATTCGACTTTTTTTGTTTTTCAAGTTTTGGATTTTTTGATTTTTCGTTTCTTTAATTTAAGGTTTCTGGAATTATTGCTGAATTTTTCCACTGAGTTTTTTAATTTTTCAATATATCAAGTGTTACAATTTTTGGATTTTGTAATTTTTCCTTATTTAACTTTTCGATTTCTGAATTTTTTCTTTTTTAATTTTTAAATGTTTCGATTTTCAAATGAGATTTTTCGATGTTTCAGGTTTCAGTTTGTGAATTTGTGATTTTTCCGATTTTAACAGTTTTTGGATTTACATTTTTCTGATCTTTGAGTTGTTGCATTTTTGGACTTTTCAGTTTTTCGATTTTAGTTTTTCGGTTCTTGAATATTTGGATTTTTTATTTTAGCAATTTTTGGATTTTCAATTTAGTTGTACGATTTTTTATTTTGCAATTATTGGGTTTTTTAAATTTTTTGATATTAAGTTTTTCAATTTTTTCGTTTCCTGAATTTTTAAATTCGTCATTTATTGATTTTTTTGTTCTACAATTTTGCATTCTAGATTCTCCAATTTTCCAATTTTTTGGTTTTACAATTTTCCTATACATATTTTAACTTTTGTTACTTTAATTTTCCGGTTTTTCAATTTTTCACTTTTGTGGTATTTCGCTTATAGACTTAATTCTTGGTTTTTAATTTTCTCGTTTTTTTGAATTTTTGATTTATATTTTTTCTAGTTTTTAATTTAAATATTTCGATTTTTCAACATCCAATTTTTTGTTTTTCAAGTTTTCGATTTTTTGATTTTTCGTTTCTTTAATTTTACGTTTCTGCAATTACTGCTCAATTTTTCCACTAGATTTTTTAATTTTTCAATATTTCAGTGTTACAATTTTTGGATTTTGAAATTGTTTCTTATTAACTTCTCGATTTCTGAATTTTTTGGTTTTTTAGTTTTTAAATTTTTCGATTTTTCAAATGAGATTTTTCGATGTTTCAGGTTTCAGTTTGTCAATTTTTCATTTTTCCGATTTTATAACGATTTTTGGATTTACAGTTTTCTAATTTTTGAGTTGTTGCATTTTTGGACTTTTCAGTTTTTCGTTTTTTTTTGCATTTTTATTTTAGCAATTTTTGGGTTTTCAATTTTTCAATAGTCAATTTTTCCGATTTTCCAATTATTGCATTTTTCGACATTGTAGGATTTTTATGTTGCAATTTCTTTGATTTTTAAAATTTTTCAAAATTTAGTTTTTCAATTTTTAGCTTTTCATTTTTAGATTTTTCATTTTTTCGATTTGTTTGTTTGGGCAATTTTTGGATTTTTAATTTTCGGATTTTTAGATTTTTGAGTTGTTGCATTTTTCGACTTTTCAGTTTCTCGATTTTTTTTGAATTTTTTTGGTTTTAAAAAAAATCGATTTTAGTTTATCTTCTTCAATTTTTTATTTTAGCAATTTTTGGATTTTCAATTTAGTTGTAGGATTTTTTATTTTGCAATTATTTGGTTTCTAAAATTTTTCCATATTTAGTTTTTCAATTTTTGTTTTTCAACTTTTTCAGTTTTTCGTTTCCTGAATTTTTAAATTCGTCGTTCATTGATTTTTTTAATTTTTCACTTTTGTGATATTTCGCTTATCGAGTTTTAATTTTTGGTTTTTAATTTTTTCGTTTTCTTGAATTTTTGATTTATATTTTTTCGAATTTTTAATTTAAATATTTCGAATTTTTGGTTTTCAAGTTTTGGATTTTTTGATTTTTCGTTTCTTTAATTTTACGTTTCTGCAATTATTGCTCAAATTTTTCCACTAGATTTTTTAGTTTTTCAATATTTCAGTGTTACAATTTTTGGATTTTGAAATTTTTTCTTATTCAATGATTCAGGTTTCAGTTTGTCAATTTTTGATTTTTCCGATTTTAACAATTTTTGGATTTCCAATTTTCTGATTTTTGAGTTGTTGCATTTATGGACTTTTCAGTTTTTCGATTTTAGTTTTAGGTTCTCCAATTTTTTGTTTCTTCAATATTTGGATTTTCAATTTTTCAGTAGTCAATTTTTACGATTTTCCAATTTTTGGTTTTAGGATTTTTATGTTGCAATTTGTTAAAAAAAAATAAAATTTTTCGATATTTAACTTTTTCGGTTTTCCGTTTCTTGAATTTTCCGATTTTTTTGTTTTTTTTTTAATTTCACAATTATGCAATTTCCCAATTTTACAATTTTCCAGTTTTTAGATGTTTTAGTTTTTCAATTTTGCGAGTTTTCGTTTCTCGTTTGTTCAGTTCTTTCAAAATTTTCGTATTTCTAGTTTTGATTTATTCAGTTTTTCAGTTTACTGATTTCTAAATTTTTAATTTTTCAATTGAGATTTTTCCGTGTTTTAAGTTTTTGATCTCCGATTTTTCAGTTTTTTGATTTTTAGACTTTAATTTTTTCGATTTGTTTCGCAAATTTTTGATTTTTAAATTTTTGAGTTGTTGCATTTTTCGACTATTCAGTTTCTCGAATGTTTTTGAATATTTTTGGTTAAAAAAAAAAAATCGATTTTAGTCTATAGCTTCTCCAATTTTTCGTTTCTTCAATTCTTGGATTGTAATTTTTCGATTTTTCAGTTAGATTTTTCAATGTTTCGATTTTTAATATTAGCAATTTTTGGATTTTCATTTATTTTACAATTTTTGAATTTCCCAATTTTACAATTTTTCAGTTTTTTTGATATTTTGGTTTTTAAATTTTGCGATTTTTCGTTGCTCGATGTTTTGCTTTTTCCTTTCTTCAGTTTTTTCAAAATGTTTGTATTTTAACTTTTGGTTTATTTAGTTTTTCAGTTTACTAGTTTTTAAATTTTTCTATTTTTCAGTTGAGATTTTTTCATGTTTAAATTTCTGATCTCGGATTTGTCAGTTTTTCAATTTTTCGACTTTTTTATTTTGGCAATTTTTGGATTATCAATTTTAATATTTTTGAGTTGTTGCATTTTTCGACCGTTCAGTTTCTCGAATTTTTTTGATTTTTTTTTGGTTTTAAAAAATTTTCGCTTTTGGTTTATAATTTCTCCAATTTTTCACTTCTTCACTTTTGAGATTTGTAATTTTTCAATTTTTCAGTTAGATTTTTCAGTAATTCCATTTTTTATTTTAGCAATTTTTGGATTCTCAATTTCTCAATAGTCGTTTTGTTTCAAATTTTCCGATTATTGCATTTTTCGACTTTTTGGTTCTGGATTTTTGTTGCAATTTTTTTGGTTTTTAAAATTATTCGATATCTAATTTTTCAATTTTTAGTTTTTAACTTTTTAGTTTTCCGTTTCTTGAATTTTTCGATTTGTAATTTTTTCTCTTTTTTTTATTTTACATTTTGCAATTTTCCGATTTTACAATTTTTTTTTCGTTTCTCGATTTTTTAGCTTTTCGTTTCTTTCGTTTTTTCAAAGTTTTTCGAATTTTCAATTGAGATTTTTCCTTGTTTAAACTTTTAGTCTGTCCGATTTTTCCACTTTTACATTTTTCATATTTTCGATTTGTTTGTTTTGGCAATTTTTGAATTTTCAGTTTTCAGATTTTTGAGTTGTTGCATTATCAAGTTTTCAGTTTTTCGATTTTTTTAAACTTTTTTTCGTTTTAAAAAATTTTCAATTTTTTTGGTTCCGATTTTTCGTTTCTTCAATTTTTAGAATGTAATGTAATTTTTCATTTTTTTAATTTGACGATTTTGCAATTTTGGATTTTTCAACTTTTAGATTTTTCAGTATTTCGTTTCTTTTTTTTATTAATTTTTGATTTTCAATTTCTCAATTGTCAGTTTTTCTATTTTTTCTATTACTGCATTTTTCGATTTTTTAGTTTTAGGAGTTTTATGTTGCAAGTTTTTTTGTTTTTAAAAATTTTCTGATATTTTTGTTTTTTAACTTCTCATTTTTTCGCTTCCAAAATTTTTCGATTTCTAGTTTTTTGATTTTTTCATTTTACAGTTTTGGAATTTTTAGATTTTACAATTTTTCAATTTCGCTATATTTCGTTCTTCGATTTTTAAGTTTTTCTTTTCTTCAATTTTTTTCATTTGCAGTTTTTTGTCTTTTTTTTATTTTACATTTTGCGATTTCACAATTTTTGGTTTTTTAATTTTTCAATTTTTGGATTTTTCGTTTCTCGATGTTTTAGTTTTACCTTTCCTTAGTTTTTTCAAAATTTCTGTATTTTAAGTTTTGGTTTATTCAGTTTTTCAGTTTACTAGTTTTTAATTTTTGTATTTTCAATTTTCAGATTTTTGAGTTGTTGCATTTTAGACTATTCAGTTTCTCGGATTTTTTGAATTTTTTTGTGTTTTAAAAAATGAAAAGTTTCTTCAGTTTTTAGATTTGTAGTTTTTCAATTTTTCAGTTAGATTTTTCAATCTTCTATTTGTTATTTCAGCAATTTTTGGATTTTCAATTTCTAAATAGCCAAATTTTCCGTTTTTCCAGTTATTGCATTTGTTGATTTTTTAGTTTTAGGATTTTTTTGGTTGTTAAAATTTTTCAGTTTTTCCTTTTTTCAATTTTTTTGGTTTGTAGTTTTTCTATTCTTGTTTCCAATTTAAAAGTTTTCTGTTTTTTGATTTTCTTTATTTATTTGGTTCTCAATTTTTATTTCTTCCATTGTTAAGTTTTCAAGATTAGAATTTTTTATTTTTAGTTTCTTTAATTTTACGTTTTTGCAAAAATTTTCGTTCATTCACTTGTTCAATTTATTAGTTTTTAAAACTTTTTATATTTCAATTGAGATTTTTCCATGTTTAAATTTTTCGGTTTTTCGGTTTTTATTTTGACAATTTTTTGAATATTTGGTTTTCCTATTTTGATTGAATTTTTCGACTTTTTAGTGTTTCAATTCTTTGGCAATTTTTAATTTTTCGTTTCTTAAATTTTTAGTTTTGTAATTTTTCGATTTTTCAATTTTACAAGGTTTCAGCTTCACTTCACTTTTCAACTTTTAGGTTATAAAATCGTAAAATTGGAAACGGAAAAATTGAAAAACTGAAGAATCCAAAAATTGTCAAATTATTGAAAACATCAAAGAATCAAAAGATTGAATAATCCAAAAATTAGTAATCAAGAAATTAAAAAGAGGAAAATCGAAAAATTGCAAGTGGAGAAAATAATAAAAAAAAATAATATAGAAACTAAAAAACCGAAAAACTTCAGTTGAAAGATCGACAGATTGAAAAATTTTAAATTAAATATTTGAAAAACTCTAAATCGAGAAATTAAAGAAATGACAGATTGAAAAATCAAAAAACTGAAAAATGCAAAACTAAAAAATCTAAGTATTAAGAATCGAGAAACTGAAAAACCAAATATGTATTTAAAAACAAATGTGAAACTGAAAAATCGAAGAGCCTTAAGAAAACGAAAAAAAAACGAGAAACTTAAAAAAAAATATGCATCTCACAATTGAAATATCAAAAACAAAGGAAGCAAAAATTCAACAGAAAAAAATATCAAAAAATAGAAATATTTGAAATAAGAAATAAAAATGTCAATTTTTAAGATCATGATTTTCAAATTGAATATTTCGAAAAGTTGTAAGATTTTGAGCGAAAAATTAAAAAACTGAGGAACTGTAAAATCGAAAAATTAAAGAAATGAAAGACTAGAAAATAAAAAACGTCAAAACTCCAAAGTTGGACACTCGAAAAATTTCAACTAAAGAAAAATGAAAGAAATGACAGATTGTTTTTAGGTTATAAAATCGTAAAATTGGAAATGGAAAAATTGAAAAACTGAAGAATCCAAAAATTGTCAAATTATTGAAAACATCAAAGAATCAAAAAATTGAATAATCCAAAAAAAATCAAGAAATTAAAAAGAGGAAAATCGAAAAATTGAGTATTGAGGAATGGAAAAATTGCAAACTTGAGAAATCAAAAAATTAAAAAAAAAAACGTAAAATTGTTCGGTCTGACAGTTACGATCAAATAACTGTCAAACAACTGCAATGCCAACATTACTTTAAAAATAAATTTCACGGCCTACTAGAGGATTTTTTTTCGATCATATGGAAAATTAATTCTGTTTCTTAATGTTCTTCCTTCTAACTTTTTTTTTGTGGTGTGATTTAAAAAAAATATATTTTTTTTCGCCTCCAGAATGCTAAATAAACTCAAAGAGCAGCACAAAGTGGCGCAGCTCCTCGCCGCCCAGAAGGTCCTCGAGGTAAAGAAAGACGAAGAGACGAAAGAACCGTCGTCGAACGACTCGAACAAGAGCGACCCCGAGATCATCGTCGACGACGACTTATCCAAAGACGAGGTCACGATAGTTCCTACGAAAGAAGCACCAATCGTCGTCATAGACGAGGAGGTCAAGCAGCCGCCGGACCCCCCGGTCACGACCAGCACCGAGGGCGCCGTCAACGGCCACTTGCTCAAAAACGACAAACCATATCCGGAGGTGATCGAGGAGGAGCCGATGCCGGTCGACGTAATCAAGCACCAGGGCAACACCCTGAAGGACCTGATGGAGTGGCTGCACGACAGGTCGACCTTGACCAGTGAGGAGTTGGCGTCGTTGTGCATAACGATGGACGATTTCAAACAAGCTTTAAAGTGTGTTCAGCCCTCCGCGAAGAGGGAGGGATTCGCGACGGTTCCTGACGTCAGCTGGGACGACGTGGGCAGTCTGACGGCCGTGAGGGAGGAGCTGCAGATGGCCATTTTGGTAAGGGAACGTTAGATTCGTTGTTCGCGTGTTTTTAGAAACGTGGGAAATTGGAATTTGTTGTGTTTTAGGCGCCCATCAGACACATGGAGCATTTCAAAGAACTAGGTTTAACCACTCCGACGGGGATTTTGTTGTGCGGTCCACCAGGTTGTGGAAAAACTCTCATAGCCAAAGCTTTAGCGAATGAAGCTGGAATTAACTTTATTTCGGTTAAGGGTCCTGAGCTTCTCAATATGGTGGGTGTCCTCGCGGGTTGTCAATTCGCGTTAACAATTTTTTTTTTTTGTAGTATGTAGGTGAAAGCGAAAGGGCGGTTCGTGTGTGTTTCGAAAGGGCGCGGAATTCGGCCCCTTGTGTCATTTTCTTCGACGAATTGGACGCCATTTGCCCTAAAAGATCGGATAGTAGAGAGGTGAGTGCGTTTTCGGTTGAATTCAACTTAAAATTTATTGGGAGATTTTTATTCTCTTGGGCGCCTGGCTACTTACTTAAATTTGATAAAATATATAAATATACTCCTGTATTTATGGTTTATGAATCCGTGTCAAATTTTTATCGCAGACATCCAGATTTTTGCAATGTATTCGTTTAGTCAGAAATGATGAGGTCATTTTACAATTTTGCCAAAGCAATTTCATTTAAATTTTACAAAAACATACTCTTCTATTTCTGATTTATGAATCCGTGATGAGTTTTACCATTGATATCCAGCTGTTTGTAAGAAAAATCAAAATTGTGTGAAAGCCCAATTTTTTAATAATCGTAAAAAATGACATTTTTATTTTTTTTTTCAAACATTTCAATTTTTCGATTTTTTATGTTTTGAATTTTTCATTCTTCAATTTTTCGATGTTTCAGTTGCTAGATGCATATTTTTTGTAAGTTTCTAGATTTTTGCTTTTCGTTTTTTAAGGTTCTTCGATTTTCGATTTTCACATTTTTTTTGTAAATAGATATTTTGAGTTTTCAGTTCTTCGATTCTTAATATCTAGATGTTTTAGTCTTGCGATTTGAAATTTTTCGAGTGTTCAACTTTTGAGTTTTTTGTTTTTTATTTTCACTTCTTTCAGTTCTTTAATTTTTCGCCTTTACAGAGTTCTTCAGTTTAATTTTTCTCTCAAAATTGTGTAACATTTTACAACTTTTCGAAATATTCAGTTTGAAAACCAAATTTTTTGATAATCTTAAAAATTGACATGTTTATTTTTCATTTTAGATATTTCAATTTTTCGATATTTTTTCTGTTGAATTTTTCGTTTAATTTTGTAATTTTTCGAAGTTTCAATTGTTGGATGCATATATTTTCTTTAAGTTTCTCGATCTTTTCTTTTTGTTTTTTCATTTTCATATATTTTTTCAATACATATTTTGATTTTTCAGTTCCTCGGTTTCTAAATTTTTTAATTTTGTAATTTGAAATTTTTCGAGTATCCAACTTTTGCACTTTTCAGTTTTTTCATTTGTCAATGTGTCATTTCTTTAATTTTTCGATTTGGAGTTTGTCAATTTAAAATTTTTCAATGTTTAGTTGTAGTTTCTGTTTTTAATTTTTCGATTTTTTATTTTCTCTATTTGTTAGTTTTCGATTTTTAAGATTTTTCAGTTATAACTTTTTCAATTTTTCAGTTTTTCGTTTCTACAGTTTTCAGTTATTCGATATTTTAATTTTACTTTTTTGAAATTATTCGATTTTTCAATTTTTTAAATTTTCAGTTTCCCGAATTTAAATTTTGCGATTTTTCAGTTTCTAGATTTGCAATTTGTCGAACGTTCATTGTTAAATTTTTCAATTATGGATTTTTCAACTTTCATTTTTAATTTTTTTGGATTTAACAAATTTTAATTCCTTCAGTTTTTCGAGTTGCAATTATTCGTTTTTAAAATTTTTCAACATTCCATCCTATTCAAGATATTTTAATTTATTGTTCTTTTTTTTTAAATTAATTATTTTTATTTATCGATTTGCAATTTTTCAAAAAGAGTGTAGTTTAAAATTTTCCGGTTTTTCAATTTTTTATGTTGTGAATTTATTTCATTCTTCATTCTACAGTCTTTCTATTTTGAAATTTTCGATGATTCATATTTGTTTTTCAGTTTCTGGATTTTTGATTTTCGTTTTTTAAGCTTCTTCGATTTTTCAGTTTCCCATTTTTTTAAATACTTATTTTTATTTTTTAGACCTTCGATTCGTAGTATCTCGATTCTTTAGTTTTGCGATTTGAAATTTTTTGAGTGTCCAACTTTTGAGTTTTTACGTATTTTATTTTCCAGTCTTTCATTTCTTTAATTTTTCGATTTTACAGTTCCTCAGTTGTTTAATTTTTCACTCAAAATTGTGTAACAACATTTTACAACTTTTCGAAATATTCAATTTGGAAATAAAATTTTTAATGTTCTTAAAAATTGTCATTTTTATTTCTTATTTCAAATATTTCTATTTTTCGATATTTTTTTCTGTTTTATTTTCTCTGTTTTGGATGTTTAAAATTTTCGATATTTCAGTTGCTAAATGCATATTTTTTTTAAGTCTCTCGTTATTTTCTTCGTTTTCTTAAGGTTCTTCGATTTTTCAGTTTCACAATTTTTTTTATACATATTTTGATTTTTCAGTTTCTCGATTCTTAATACTTAGATTTTTTAGTTTTGCATTTTTCAATTTTTTGATTTTTCAAAAAATTCATTTCATTAATTTCTCGATTTAGAGTTTTTCAATTAATTTAAAATTTTTGAATGTTTCGATTTTTCAACTACTACATATTTAATTTAATTTTTTTGATTTTTCAGTTTTTGAGTTCCTCTATTTTTAATTTTTTGATTTTTTATTTTCTTGATTTGCAAGTTTTCGATTGTTAAGATTTTCAGTCTTTGATTTTTTGATTGTAATTTTTTCAACTTTTGAATTTTTGATTGTTTGATTTTTCACATTTTTATTTCTTTACTTTTTCGATTTGCGGTTTTTCGTTTCTACAGTTTTCAGTTGCTAGATATTTTCATTTTATATTTTGGAAAATGTTCGATTTTTCAAATTTTCAGCTTCCCGATTTTTAATTTTACGATATTTCAGTTTCTAGATTTTCAATTTTTCGAACGTTCAATGTTAAATTTTTCAATTGTCGATATTTCAACTTTAATTTTTACATTTTTGGTTTTATGAAATTTTTACTCCTTCATTTCTATGAGTTGCAATTATTCGTTTTTAAAATTTTTCAATATTCCACATTGAAGATATTTTAATTTTTGATTTTTTAAATTATTCGATTTTTCAATTTCTTGATTTGTAAGAAAACGTTTAGTTTAAAATTTTTTAATTCTTAGAATTTTTATCTTGTGAATTTTTCGATTTTGAAATTTTCGATTGCTCAATTTTTTTTATGTTTTTATGTTTTTTATTTTCTACTCTTTCATTTCTTTAATTTTTCGATTTTACAGTTTCTCAGTTTTTTAATTGTTCACTCAAAATTCTGTAACAAAATTCACAACTTTTCGAAATATTCAGTGTGAAAACCAAATTTTTTGATAATCTTAAAAATTTACATGTTATTTTTTATTTCAAAATTTTCGATGTTTCAATTGTTAATTGCAAATATTTTAAAGTTTCTGGATTTTTCTTTTCGTTTTTTAAGGTTCTTCCATTTTTCAGTATCACATTTTTTAATACATATTTTGATTTATCAGTTCCTCGATTCTTGATATGTAGATTTTTTAGTTTTGCGATTTGAAATTTTTCTTTTGGATTTTTCAGTTTTTTGATTTTTCAATCTGTCCTTTATTTAATTTTTTGATTTTGAGTTTCTCATCTGTTTCATTATATTTCAGTTTCTAGATTTGAAAATTTTCGAGCGTTCAGTGTTAAAATTTTCAGTTATCGAGATGTTAACATTACAATTTTTGGATTTCTCAAATTTTTGTTCCTTCAATTTTTCGTTTTTAAAATTTTTCAATTTTTTGATTTTTTACCTTGTGAATTTTTCAATTTTTCATTCCTCAGTTTTTCGATTTTGAAAAATTTTTGGTGATGCTTATTTGTTTTTTAGTTTTTGATTTTCGTTTTTTAAGGTTCTTCGATTTTTCAGTTTTCCAATTTTTTTAATACAAATTTTGATTTTTCAGTTCCTCGATTATCTAGATTTTGTAGTTTTGCGATTTGAAATTTTTCGATTTGGAGTTTTTCAAATGTTTAGTTTAAAATTTTTCAATGTGTCGATTTTTCAAGAGAATTTTTTCGGGTTAGTTTCTCTATTTTTAATTTTTAAATTTTGTAATTTTCTCCATTTGCAATTTTTCGATTTTTATCTTTTGAATTTTTCAATTTGTCATTCCTCAGTTTTTCGTTTTTGAAATTTTTAGATTTTTCAGTTTGTAGATACATACTTGTTTTGCAGTTTCCCAATTTTTGTAAACATATTTTGATTTTGAATTTGACTTTTTTTTAATTTCCAATCTTTTAGTTTTTCAGTTTCTCGATTTCTAATTTTTCAATTTATCAGATTTTCGTTTTGTAGTTTTCCAAATGTTTAAATTAAAATGTATCAATCTTTCTATTTTTCAGCTTTTGAGTTTTTCAATTTTTCTATTTGTCAATTATTTATTTTCATTTCCTAGATATTTCAATTTTCCGATTTTTTAATTTCTCGATTTGCAATTTTTCGGGTATTCATTTAAAATTTTTCAAATATCGATATTTCAACTTTTCTGTTTTGAAATTTTTCCATTATTAACATTCTTATTTTTACCTTTGTTGATTTGCAGTTTTTCGTTTCTATAATTTTTCAGGTAATGATATTTTAATTTTACTTTTTTTAAATGATTCGATTTTCCAGTTTTTCTATTTATTTTGAGAATTTTTCAATTTTTCATTCTACAGTTTTTCGATGTTGAAATTTTTTAATGTACATATTTGTTTTTCAGAGTCCCGATTTTTGATTTTCATTTTTTAAGGTTCTTCGATTTGAGTGTTCAACTTTTGAGTTTTCATTTTTCTTTAATTTTTCGATTTTATAGTTTCATGGTTTTTTTATTTTTGCAGATGTCTAATTTAAAAATTTTCATTTTTTAAGTCTCTCGATTTTTAATTTTTTGATTTTTTAGTATCACAGTTTGGAATTTTTCGGGCGCTCAGTCTTAAATGTTTCAGTTACCGGTTTTTAAACTTTTGATTTTGGAATTTTTCGATTTTTTCACATTTTTTTTGTTCCTTCACGTTTTAAATTTGGAGTTTTTCGTTTTTATGATCTTTCAGTTACAGATATTTTATTTTTCCGTTCTTGAAATTATTTGAGTTTTAAATTTTTGAATTTTCAGTTTCCGATTTTCAATTTTACTATTTTTTTGGTTTTGCAATTTTTAAATTTTTTATTTTTTACAATTTTCGGATTTCTCAAATTTCTATTCTTCCAATTTTTTGATTTGCAATTTTTTAAATTTTTATACCTTTAATTTTTTGATTCGCTGTTTTTCGATTTTACAATTTTTCGATTCCTATATATATATTTCATTTTTCGTTTTTGAATGGATTAGATTTTTCCATTTTTCGGAATTTCAATTATCGATTTTTCAACTTTTGATTTTTACAATCTTTGGAGTTTTCAGATTTTTTCTTTTCAATTTTTAGATTTGCAACAATTGGTTTTTAAAATTTTCCAATTTTGCATAATCAATTTAGTTTTTTCGAATTTTCAGTCTATTGGTGTTTAATTTTTCCATATCTTTTTCTTGATTTGCAATTTTTTGAATCTCTAGCTAATTTTCGTAGCTGGTTTAATAATGATAAAAAATATTATAGAGTACTGGAAAATTAATTAAAAAGTTGCTAATTCAAAAAATATAAAAATGTTAGTGTTTTAGAAAAAGATTTTCGAAATATTCGGTTTACAACTTTTTGATAAATTCCCGCCAATTTTTTATAGGGCGGTGCTACGATGCGAGTGGTCAATCAGATGTTGACGGAAATGGATGGGGTTCAAGACAGACAAGGAGTGTATCTTTTAGCTGCTAGTAATAGACCGGACATTGTAGACCCAGCGGTCCTAAGACCCGGACGATTCGATAAAATCTTGTTTGTTGGGTTGCCTACGGCGAGTGACAGGGTAGAAATTCTGAGAGCCATCACAAAGGTTAGTTTACTATAATAATTTGAAGAAAGTTTTTCACGTAATTTTTTTTTTTTTTTTTCTAGAATGGTACCAGGCCTCGGTTGGCCCCTGACGTAGACCTGGAGGCCATCGGCACCTGCGAGCAATGCCAGGGCTACACAGGGGCGGACTTGGCCGCTCTGGTCAAAGAATCCGGAATTGTAGCCCTAAAGGAATTCATGCTGTGTGGCGACACCCAGAAACCCATCATGGTGAACATGGAGCATTTCCAGAGAGCCATTTCGAAAATTCGACCGTCTGTGCCTGAGAAGGTACCACGTTTTTTCCATTTGAATTGGAATCTAGTACTTACGGAGTGTTTATTTTAGGATCAGAAGCATTACGAAAAACTGCGCAAGATGTATGCGGCTGTTCCCGAGCAGAGTGATGTGGAGGAAATGGAATATTCTTAATCACAGTATTTTAGTACAGTACAAGCGTACATTTGACTTGTGCGTCCCGAATTTTGGACTTTGGTATTTGTTGAAAACAAATTAATGTCGATCGGTACTGAGGTTCCGAGTCGGAAATTCCCTTAGCGTTAATTTCGTCCTGCAGTATATTTTTTGCAGATTTGTTATAAGCGATTGAATTGACACTTGAATAAAGTTCTAAATATGTTGGTTTTGTTTGTCATAGTGCGTCGAGTCGGTCTAGGCGAAATTGGTTTAACGAGTAGTGTTTTAGAAAATTTTAGTTGTAATTTCATCAAATGGTTCAAATCCGTTTTGTCTTACGCAAATTATATTTTTATATTTTGATGTAAACAATTGTGTTAATTATATTTATGATTCATATATCTTACAAATAGTGTCTAAGGGTGTCACTAAACTTTGTGCAAATAGTTGTAAAAAATTTATAAGGAAAAAATATGATTACTAAGATTGAATAAAATGAGGATTCATATTTGGTGGTTTTTGTTCTTCCTAGTGATAACCTAACGTTGTTCTATTTTTTTTTATATACAGGGTGACTCATGAGTAATAATTCCAATTTTTGGTCTATTATTTACCCCGTTGTTTTTTTTTACGCTATAAAGGTTATCAGTTATCACAAATCAAAAATCGCAACATTGTCGTAGTGTGTCATTTTTTAACGGAAGACATTTAAACGTAAAACAGAAGGCTGCTGCCGTTGCTATGACGATTCATCAACACATTTTTCAGAAATTAAAATGCATCCAAGTTTTGCAATTTAATCCACATTTAAGTGCTTTGTATTAGTTTTCTTGGTGTTTTGTGGTAATTTGTGTGCTCGCACAATGCAATCGGACAGCGATGAAGATTTTTCGTGCACCCCTGAAGAAATTTCCAAACTACAAAGTTTTTGAGGTTACTCATTCATCCACACAACACGAAAAGTACGTTCTGCTGATAAAACTCTGCAAAAAATCACTGATAAGGTGTCGGCGAGAATTTTTTCTCCATTTTCGTGTTATGCAAACGAGTTCAGTCGGTTTCGACTTTGTTGAGGTCGTACGTGTGCGGTCTGTAAATTAGTGTTTAAGTGGTTTATTTTTGTTAAAAATAATTGATTTCGGGCTTAAAGTGAAGGGTGAGTGTTGTGATGTGCCCATGAGGAAGGAGTCTGCAAGTTTCGGCGCGGAAGGAAAGGAAATCAGGATTTAAAGGGTAAGTGTTGCGGTTAGCCTTTATGTCTATTATTCAATGTACGGTTAATTATTTAAAAATTAAATCCAATTTTGCTTTTTATTTCACAACGGACCGTCTTTACGTTTTACGTATCACTCCAATTAATTATATTATTCACTGTTATTATCGTTGTTTTTTTTTTTAATTTCAAAATCGTTTTGAAACCGTTTTTGTATTTGGGACGTAATTAACTACAACTAAAAGAAGGCAATCATGTTAATTGAAATTTCAGTCAAGTTAACTTTAGAATGTAATAAATAATAAACCTGTGGAATGTATTTTTCTTTGTCTACACAACGTTTTTTTGTTGCACTGGGTTGGTAAATGAAGATGAAGGAATTCGCTAAATTGTAGCAGAAGAAGCCTAAAGGTTAGAATTTTGCATTAATTTTAAATTGGGTGTTGTTTCTTTATATTTTTTTAATCTTTGGTGGAGGCCATTTTGATCGGTAATTTTTTGACATCTTTTTGTTACTCTTTTGCTTATGTGCGTATGTTCAGACAATTTTTCCTTTCGATTTTTCATGCAGGAGAAAAAAATGCCTTTTACTTAACGAGCGTAGCAATTACTACAAAAATTTACCGTTATCGTCGAGAGCCAATTTAATTGCAAAATCCATATTTCCTTACAAAAATTTTCGATATTAAACGTGTTCGAAGTTACTAAGAATAAAAAAATCATCACAATTGAGATGGGGTGGGTGGGCGGGGTTTATATTTTGCTTTTTTTCTTAATTGATATAGTATTATTTGAACAGCACGCTACTCAAAAATATGTTTTTAATTCCTTGTAAAGAACTAAGTATTTTGCAGTTAAGTTTCGCCCTCTTGATTCAGGGCGAATAAAAAAATTATCACAATTGAGACAGGGCGGGTGGGCGGGCTTATGTTTTGCCTTTTTGTTTTGATATGTGTAGACTTCTTTTCACAATATGAAACTTAAAACATGTTTAAAGTGGAAAATTTGTATAAGGTAATATCCATTTTGCAATTAGGCTCCGCCCCATAATTGCAAAATCCATATTTCCTTGCAAAAGTGTACCATTTTAACCATGTTCTAAGATTCTTGTTTCAAAAAGACGGCTATGTATATTGAGGAAAAAAGCCAAAATAAAGTATATCTATCTAGCGACTCTGGGGGTTACGGACTGGACGTTGCGCGATCGATTCCAAACTTGACCTTTCGGTTTTTTTTTCGTTTTCTTTCGCATTGGGTAATTATTTATTTTATTGACGTCATAACAAATTATTTATTGATGAAATTACCACACTTTCTCGAAAAGGTAAAATTTTCTCGGGGGCCCCAAATGTCTTTATTTATGTGAAACCTCTTCGGGGGTCCCAATTGTCTTTTTTAAAAATGTGAAACATTCTCGGCGATCCCAACTGTCTTTTTTAATAATGTAAAACCTTGTCGGGGGCCCCAATTGTCTTTTTTATAAATGTGAAACCTTCTCGAGGGTCCCAACTGTCTTTTTTAAAAATGTAAAACCTTCTCGGGGGTTCCAATTGTCTTTTTTAAAAATGTAAAATCTTCTCGGAGGTCCCAACTGTATAATTTTAAGAATATGAAACCTTCTTGGGGGTCCCAAATGTCTGTTTCAAAAATGTAAAACCTTCTTGGGGGCGCCAAATATCTCTTTTAAGAATGTGAAACCTCGGGGGTCCCAACTATGAATTTTTAAAATGTAAAACCTTCTCGGGAACGCTAGACGTCTTTTATAAAAATGTGAAACCTTCTCGGGGGTCCCAACTGTCTTTTTTTAAGCGAAACCTTCTCGGGGGTCCCAACTGTGTTTTTTACTAATGTAAAACCTTCTCGGGGGTCCCAACTATGATTTTTAAAAATGTAAAACCTTCTCGGGGGTCCCAACTGTTTTGTTTTAATGTGAAACCTTCTCGGGGGTCCAAACTATCACTTTTAAAAATATAAAACCTTCTCGGGGGTCAAAACTGTCTATTTTAAAAATGTAAAATCTTCTCGGGGTGGCCCAACTGTATAATTTTAAGAATATGAAACCTTCTTGGGGGTCCCAAATGTCTGTTTCAAAAATGTAAAACCTTCTTGGGGGCGCCAAATATCTCTTTTAAGAATGTGAAACCTCGGGGGTCTCAACTGTCTTTTTAAGCGAAACCTTCTCGGGGGTCCCAACTGTTTTTTTTTAATGTGGAACCTTTTCGGGGGTCCCAACTATGATTTTTACAAATGTAAAACCTTCTCGGGGGTCCCAACTGTTTTTTTTAATGTGAAACCTTCTCGGTGGTCCCAACTATGATTTTTAAAAATGTAAAACCTTCTCGGGGTCCCTACTGTTTTTTATTTAATGTGAAACCTTCTCGGGGGTCCCAACTATCATTTTTAAAAATGTAAAACCTTCTAGGGGGTCCCAACTGTCAATTTAAAAAATGGAAAGTCTTCTCGGTGGTCCCAACTGTACAATTTTAAGAATATGAAACCTTCTTGGGGGTCCCAAATGTCTGTTTCAAAAATGTAAAACCTTCTTGGGGGCGCCAAATATCTCTTTTAAGATTGTGAAACCTCGGGGGTCCCAACTATGAATTTTTAAAATGTAAAACCTCGGAAACGCTAAACGTCTTTTTTAAAAATGTGAAACCGTTTCGGGGGTCCCAACTGTTTTTTTTAATGTGAAACCTTCTCGGGGGTCCCAACTATGACTTTTAAAAATGTAAAACCTTCTCGGGGGTCCCAACTATCATTTTTAAAAATGTAAAACCTTCTCGGGGTTCCCAACTGTCTATTTTAAAAATGTAAAATCTTCTCGGGCGTCCCAACTGTATAATGTTAAGAATATGAAACCTTCTTGGGGGTCCCAAAGGTCTGTTTCAAAAATGTAAAACCTTGGGGGCGCCAAATATTTCTTTTAAGAATGTGAAACCTCGGGGGTCCCAACTATGAATTTTTAAAATGTGAAACCTGTTCGGGGACGCTAAACGTCTTTTTTAAAAATTTGAAACCTTCTCGGGGGTCCCAATTGTCTTTTTTTAAGCGAAACCTTCTCGGGGGTCCCAACTGTGTTTTTTACTATTGTAAAACCTTCTCGGAGGTCCCAACTATCATTTTTAAAAATGTAAAACCTTCTCGGGGGTCCCAACTGTTTTTTTTTTAATGTGAAACCTCGGGGGTCCCAACTATCATTTTTAAAAATGTAAAACCTTCTCGGGGGCCCTAACTATCATTTTATAAGATGTAAAACCTTGTTGGGGACGCTAAACGTCTTTTTTAAAAATGTGAAAGCTTCTCGGGGGTACCAACTGTCTTTTTTTTTAAATGTGAAACCTTCTTGGGGTTTTCAATTGTCTTTTTTAAAAATGTAAAACCTTCTCGGGGGCGCCAAATGTTTTTTTTTATGTAAAACCTCGGGGACGCTAAACGTCTTTTTTAAGAACATGAACCTTCTCGGGGGTCCGATTGGTTTTTTTTTTAAGAATGTGAAACCTTCTCTGGGGTTCCAACTGTCCTTTTTTAAAAAATGCGAAACCTTCTCGGGGTCCCCAAGTGTCTTTTTTTAAGAATATTAAATCTTCTCGGGGTTCCCAACTGTCTTTTTTAATTATATTTGTGGTTTATGAGTCTGTCTTGATTTTTATCACAATTACTTTCCAAAAATTTTTGTGCTGAGTAAATAATTCGAGACCAATTTAAAAAAAAAATACAAAACGTAGTTGAGTTGTAATTTCCTGCGGCCCCTTTCCCTGACTCCTTGCAAAAAAAATTGATTTGTGACAGCTCAACCGTAATTCGATTTGCATGATAGAAGAGGCCACTTTGGCTTGGCCGCCAATATTGTTGGATAATTGATTTCTCGTGGAATAGGAAGCAATTGAGGTTACAGAAATCGGTTACTAGCCGTCACAAGCGGCAGGTATTGACCACTCGAGATTGCATCCTACGCAATATCTTACTTATTAGTTGAGATGTAGACACGCGACACAAATAAATTTATTTCCATGAATTGGAAGTTACAAATTATAACATAATTACACACGTACTTTATTATTTTTTATCTTGAAAATAACTAAGAATCACCACTTTTCTTATCACCTTATCGCCACACATGTAATAAAATAATCATCAATAATTTATTATTTACTATTTATCTAACTTCCCGCCAGACAAAACAACAACAATTTTTTCATTTTTCGAAATATTTATCCCACGAGTGCGAAAATGCACATCAGCAACAAAACCTTGCACAATCGGACGCCAACGCCGTAGTTTCCAGCTCCGTATTTGCTGTTTTCGTCGATCCACTCTACGTATTTAGATATTCTTGTTAGAACTTTAGGGTGCTCCCTGCTGGAAATTCCACAATCAGAACTAATCCCAAATGAAATAATTCCCGCTTGGAATCCTTCAATTAGTAGTGGACCGCCAGAATCGCCCTGAAATGACAAAGCGGCACTTTTATAATCTGGGATTAATCCTGCTGCTAATTAATACCTGACAAGATCCTCGACCATCCTCGGGCCAGCCTGCGCACATGTTTTTTTCCATGTCGTACATCCCGAAGTGGCTGTTTGCACAAGAAGCGTCATCGTAGGCTACGACGTCAACTTTTCGCAGAAAAGTGGCGATTTTTCCCTCTTCCTGAAAACTAGTGTGTCAATTTCGAACTAACTAAGTAACTTAGTGTGTCATTTTGGCTTACTGTTAGCCCCCATCCTACTAACACCCCCTGGCGGTCCCTCTCGCAAACAAAACCCTCCGAAACTAGCTTCACCGGGTGGAAAAACGTTATTTCGTTTTCTAGCTGAAACATAACTAAAATGCAAAATTTTACAATTTTAGACCGAAGGGATACCTCCAGGACGGCGATGTCGTTTATGTGCTCCATTTCGCTGTAGTTTTCGTTACAAATTATTGATTTTACCGGAATTTTCTCTCGGGGATTTTCCAAGTAGTGCGCCAAATGAACCGTCAACTTATCCAAGCTGAAAGTACAATTTTGCTGTTGGGAATTTTTTCCAGTTCGATATTTACTTTACGTTGCATACGCAATGAGCTGCTGTTAGTATAAACTTTTTGTTTAAAACAGTTCCGCCACAGAAGTGTGTGGTGTTGTTTTGAAGGGAAACCTAAAACTGTGAAAATATTTTGGGGGCTTATTAGTTAAGAGTTACCATGAAGGGGAATTCGTCTGTCTGTGCTTCCGTGCCGTTTATGATTTTCACGTCTTTTGTTGTTACTGGGGTGAGAAGAATTAGAACGAAAATTAGTGGTGGTGGCAGCAGCATTTTCGAGTTTCGTAAATCGCGTACAAACATTAGTAACGAATTGAAAGTGGAATAAAGGTAAAATAGTGTAATAACAATAAATAAATAAAAGCGGAGATAAGTGGTAATAAAGTTATCGAAAGAATGTTTTTTGTACCGAAGTTATTGTTTTGTGGAGTAAAGTTTCAGATTTTTTATTTTTCGTGATTGATAAAATGGGGAAGAATGAGACAGATAGAGTGAATTAGTGGTCGATATCTGAAGTGATTATCACGTGTAATAAATTATTCACACTGAAAATATTCAACACAGAATAGTCAATTTAAAGAGCGGATTTTAGGCTAAAAAAATTCTTTTTGTCTGTTAGGACATTTTTGTACCTAGAGAAGGATCTCTCAACATCACAGGATGTTAAAGGAGAATATTAAAAATTAGAAATTTCAGAGGGTATATTATTTGCCAAAATCAGTCTTACCTTAGCAAGGTCTAGCCCCGCCCACCCACCCTCTATTTTCTTAGAAGGTATGTCATATTCCAAAATCAGTCTTATCGTAACAAGTTCTGAAGTCAACAAGAACACATTTTATTTATTTATTTATTTATTTATTTATTTATTTATTTATTTATTTATTTATTTATTTATTTATTTATTTATTTATTTATTTATTTATTTATTTATTTATTTATTTATTTATTTATTTATTTATTTATTTATTTATTTATTTATTTATTAGAATCACTCAGCAAAAACATACAAAAAAAAGTTGGGACGGACGGACAGACAGACAGATGGAAACGGGAGACCCATTTTTTCGTACTCTAGGGGTCATGAAATGTCGAAAAACTGTAAAGTAGAGAATCCGCCGACGGACTTCATTACAATACTTCCTATATCTTGCCTCTTTTTTTTCTTAATATACACAGCCATCTTTTCATAACAAGAAACTTAAAACATGATTAAAATGGTTTGTGTAAGGAAATATGGGTTTTGCAATTATGAGGTGGAGCGTAATTGCAAAATCGATATTCTCTTATACAAATTTTCCATTTTCAACATGTTTTAAGTTTTCGTTGTGAAAAAAACGACTACATATATTAAGAAAAAGGGGACAAAATATAAGCCCCGCCCACCCACCCTATCTCAATTGTGATGATTTTTTTATTCACTGTGAACCAAGGGGACTCAGCTTAACTGCAAAATACTTATTTCTTTACAAGAAATTAAAAACATGTTTTTGAGTATTATGTTGTTCAAAGGATATTATGTATATCAAGAAAAAAAGGAAAAAAATAAACCCCGCCCACCCACCCCATCTCAATTGTGATGATTTTTTTATTTTTAGAAATTTAAAACACGTTTAAAATAGGTCTGCCAACGAATGAAAACTTTTAGATCAGGACAGTTATGGTTGGGTATTAATCTTTGGCTTTAATTTTTTTCTTAATGTACATAGTATTTTTTAAATAACACGATACTCAAAAAAAAGTCTTACACGGTAATTTCTGGTAGAAAGAGAAATAACAAGAATTTTGCATTTAAATTCTGCTCCTTTGGCTCTCGACGATTATAAAAAATCATCACAATTGAGATAGGGTGGGTGGGCGGGGCTTATATTTTGCCTTTTTTCTTAGTATTAGATTTAGATTTTGGCAAATAGCATACCCTCTAATTCAGTTTTTCGATTTTACAATTTTTCAATTCTTGGATATTTTAATTTTGAAATTATTCGATTTTTCCATTTTTCGAATTTTCAGTTTCCTGATTTTTAATAGTGCTATTTTTCAGTTTCTAGATTACAATTTTTCGAGCGTTCAATCTTAAATTTTTCAATTATCGATTTTTCAACTTTAGACTTTTATAGTTTTTGGATTTCTGATATTTTATTTCTTATGTTTAAATGTTTAATTTAAAATTTTCCACTTCTTCGCTTTTTCAGCTTTAAAATTTTTCGGTTTTTCAAATTTTCGTTTTTTCGGTTTCCCAGTTTCTAGGCTTTTATTCTTTCGCCTTTTTTTCGCGATTTGCAATTTTTCGAGTGCTCGATCTTAAATTTTTCAAATAGCGATTTTTCAACTTTTGAATTTTGAAAGTTAGATTTTTCACATTTTTATTCCTTCACTTTTTCGAGTTGTAGTTTTTCGTTTTTAGGATTTTTCGGTTCCTAGATGTTTTCGAATTTTTAGTTTCCCAGTTTTTAATTTTACTATTGTTCAGTTTCTAGCTTTGCAATTTTTCAAGTTTTGAATTTCACAGTTTTGGGATTCCTATTTTTTATTCCTTCAATTTTTCGATTTGCAGTTTTCAAGTATGGACTTTTCAATTTTTATTCTTTACAATTTTTTAATTATTTTTTTTACAATTTTTTGATTTGCAATTTTCCAAATGTTTAATTTAAAATTTTTAAATTTTATGCTTTTTCACTTTTTAAATTTTTCAGTGTTTCGATTTTTTTCTTAATTTTTGAAAATGTTATATTTTATATATCCGGGATATTTTAATTTTTCGTTTTTTAAATTATTTGATTTTTCAATTGAACAATTTGCAGTATTTTAAATTTTCAGTTTTAATTTATCCGTTTGTCCCCTCCCAAAAAATTACCTAAAATTTTTCAGTTATCGATTTTGCAACTTTTGAATTTTACTATTTTCGAATTTCTCAGTTTTATTCCTTCAATTTTTCGATTTGCAATTTTTCGTTTTTAAAATTTTTCAATTTCTTTATTTTTTTTAATATTTGACTTTTTAATTTTTCGAGATACAGTTTTTCGATTTTTCAATTTCAGGCTTTTAATTAGGTTCTGATTTTAAAATTTTACGATTCGCAGTTGTTCAAATGTCCAGTTTTAAATTTATCAGTTTGTCCCCTCCCAAAATATTAATGACGTCATCACAAAATTGTGATGAATATACGTTATTTAAATTTGATAAAATAACATACTCCTGTACTTGTGGTTTATGGATCCGTCTTAATTTTTTACCCCAGACATCCCGATTTTTGAAGAAATGGAGCCGAAAATAACTTCTAGGAGTCGAACAACAAAAAAATGTCGGTTTCGATGGTGGTTGAAAAATGATCAAAAATTTCCTAAAAACCGGTAGATTCAAATTGGCGATTCTGCAAAAATGGTAGGAATTTTAGAAGAAATGAAAAATGTCAGTTTTCCGTTTTCACGATTTTTCAACTCCTAGATATTTTAATTTTTCGTTTTTGCAATTATTCGATTTTTCCATTTTTCGAATTTTCAGTTTCCTGATTTTTAATACTGCTGTTTTTCAGTTTCTAAATTACAATTTTTCGAGCGTTCAATCTTAAATTTTTCAATTATCGATTTTTCAACTTTAGACTTTTATACTTTTTGGATTTCTGAAATTTTTATTTCTTATGTTTAAATGTTTAATTTAAAATTTTTCACTTCTTCGCTTTTGCAGCTTTTAAATTTTTCGGTTTTTCAAATTTTCGTTTTTTCGGTTTCCCAGTTTCTGGGTTTTTAATCTTTCGTCTTTTTTTCGCGATTTGCAATTTTTCGAGTGTTCGATCTTAAATTTTTCAAATAGCGATTTTTCAGCTTTTGAATTTTGAAAGTTTTAGGTTTTTCACATTTTTGTTGCTTCACTTTTTCGAGTTGTAGTTTTTCGTATTTAGGATTTTTCGGTTCCTAGATATTTTCGAATTTTTAGTTTCCCAGTTTTTCCAATTTCTAGTTTTGCCATTTTTCAAACGTCCAATCTTAAATTTTTCAATTATTGTTTTTTTGAACTTTTGAATTTTACAGTTCCTTCAATTTTTCGATTTGCAATTTTCCAAATGTTCAATTTAAAATTTTAAAATTTATGTTTTTTCACTTTTTACAGTTTTTAAGTTTTTCGATTTTTCAATTTTTCAGATTATCGATTCGCAATTTTTTGAGCGTTCGACTTTAAATTCTTCAGTTCTCGATTTTTAAACTTTTAAATTGTACAATTTTTGGATTTCTCAAATTTTTATTCCTTCAATTCTTCGATTTGCCATTTTTCGTTTTTAAAAATTTTCATTTTTGTATATTCAGGATACTTTAATTTTTTGATTTTTTAGTTGTACGATTTGTAGTATTTTAAATTTTCATTTTTAATTTATCCGTTTGTCCCCTCCCAAAAAATTAATAACGTCATCACAAAATTGTGCCGAATACATACACCTTATTTAAATTTGATAAAATAACATATACCTGTACTTGTGGTTTATGAATCAGTGTTAAGTTTTTATCCTAGACATCCAGATTTTTGAAGAAATAGTGCCGAAAATAACTTCCATAAGTTGTCGAAGCTGGTTGAAAAATTTCAAGGGGTGAATATTGAAAAATTGATGTTTTTGAAAAGTTAAATAAAATCTACAGAAAATTGTGAAATGTAGATCTCAACCAGAATTTTTTAATGATCCTTAAATATGGCTCAGGGGTTGAATTGTTCAAAAAAGATGTCTTTAATTAATTTTCGAAGGTGGTAAATATTAAAATAACTCCTAGGGGTAGATTTCTTCAAAAAAAAAAAAAATGTGTAGCTAATTTTTGAAAATGGTGGAAAAATGTTAATTTTTCGTTTTCACAATTTTTCACCTCCTCAATATTTTAATATTTTGTTTTTGATATACGATATTTCCATTTTTCGAATTTCCAGTATCCCAATTTTCAGTTTTACTATTCTTAGATATGCAATTTTTCGGGCTTTCAACCTTAAATTTTTCAGTTATCGATTTTTCAACTTTTGAATTTTACTATTTTTGAATTTCTCAAAATTTTATTCCTTCAATTTTTCGATTTGAAATTTTTCGTTTTTAAAATTTTTCAATTTCCTTTTTCTGAAAAATTTGACTTTTTAATTTTTGGAGATGTAGTTTTCCGATTTTTCAATTTCAGGCTTTTAATTAGGTTCTGATTTTTCAATTTTACGATTCGCAGTTGTTCAAATGTCCAGTTTTAAATTTATCAGTTTGTCCCCTTTCAAAATATTAACGACGTCATCACAAAATTGTGATGAATATGCGTTATTTAAATTTGATAAAATAACATACTCCTGTACTTGTGGTTTATGAACGCGTCTTAATTTTTTACCCCAGACATCCTGATTTTTGAAGAAATGGAGCCGAAAATAACTTCTAGGAGTCGAACAACAAAAAAATTTCTGTTTCGAAGGTGGTTGAAAAATGATCAAAAATTTCCTAAAAACCGGTAGATTCAAATTGGCGATTCTGCAAAAGTGGTAGGAATTTTAGAAGAAATGAAAAATGTCAGTTTTCCGTTTTCACGATTTTTCAACTCCTAGATATTTTAATTTTTCGTTTTTGCAATTATTCGATTTTTCCATTTTTCGAATTTTCAGTTTCCTGATTTTTAATACTGCTATTTTTCAGTTTCTAAATTACAATTTTTCGAGCGTTCAATCTTAAATTTTTCAATTATCGATTTTTCAACTTTAGCCTTTTATACTTTTTGGATTTCTGAAATTTTTATTTCTTATGTTTAAATGTTTAATTTAAAATTTTTCACTTCTTCGCTTTTTCATCTTTTAAATTTTTCGGTTTTCAAATTTTCGATTTTTCGGTTTCCCAGTTTCTAGGCTTTTAATCTTTCGTCTTTTTTTCGCGATTTGCAATTTTTCGAGTGTTCGATCTTAAATTTTTCAAATAGCGATTTTTCAGCTTTTGAATTTTGGAAGTTTTAGGTTTTTCACATTTTTGTTGCTTCACTTTTTCGAGTTGTAGTTTTTCGTATTTAGGATTTTTCGGTTCCTAGATATTTTCGAATTTTTAGTTTCCCAGTTTTTCCAATTTCTAGTTTTGCCATTTTTCAAACGTCCAATCTTAAATTTTTCAATTATTGTTTTTTTGAACTTTTGAATTTTACAGTTCCTTCAATTTTTCGATTTGCAATTTTCCAAATGTTCAATTTAAAATTTTAAAATTTATGCTTTTTCACTTTTTACAGTTTTTAAGTTTTTCGATTTTTCAATTTTTCAGATTATCGATTCGCAATTTTTTGAGCGTTCGACTTTAAATTCTTCAGTTCTCGATTTTTACACTTTTAAATTGTACAATTTTTGGATTCCTCAAATTTTTATTCCTTCAATTCTTCGATTTGCCACTCTTCGTTTTTAAAAATTTTCAATTTTGCATATTCAGGATACTTTATTTTAAATTTTCATTTTTAATTTATCCGTTTGTCCTCTCCCAAAAAATTAATAACGTCATCACAAAATTGTGCCGAATACATACACCTTATTTAAATTTGATAAAATAACATATACCTGTATTTGTGGTTTATGAATCAGTGTTAAGTTTTTATCCTAGACATCCAGATTTTTGAAGAAATAGTGCCGAAAATAACTTCCATAAGTTGTCGAAGCTGGTTGAAAAATTTCAAGGGGTGTGGGGAGAATATTGAAAAATTGATGTTTTTGAAAAGTTAAATAAAATCTACAGAAAATTGGGAAATGTAGATCTCAACCAGAATTTTTTAATGATCCTTAAATATGGCTCAGGGGTTGAATTGTTCAAAAAAGATGTCTTTAATTAATTTTCGAAGGTGGTAAATATTAAAATAACTCCTAGGGGTAGAATTCTTCAAAAAAAAAATGTGTAGCTAATTTTTGAAAATGGTGGAAAAATGTTAATTTTTCGTTTTCACAATTTTTCACCTCCTCAATATTTTAATTTTTCGTTTTTGATATACGATATTTCCATTTTTCGAATTTCCAGTATCCCAATTTTCAGTTTTACTATTCTTAGATATGCAATTTTTCGGGCTTTCAACCTTAAATTTTTCAGTTATCGATTTTTCAACTTTCCCGATTTTTGAAGAAATGGAGCCGAAGATAACTTCTAGTGGTTGAAAAATGATCAAAAATTTATTGAAAACTAGTAGATTTAAATTGGCGATTCTGCAAAAATGGTAGGAATTTTAGAAGAAATGAAAAATGTCAGTTTTCCGTTTTCATAATTTTTCAATTTCTAGATATTTTAATTTTTCGTTTGTGCAATTATTCGATTTTTCCGTTCTTCGAATTTCCAGTTTTCCGATTTTCAATTTTACTATTTTTCAGCTTTGAATTTGACAATTTTTAGATTTCATAAATTTTTGTTCCTTTAATTTTTCAATTTGCAATTCTTCGTTTTTAAAATTATTTTATTTGATTGAGAAAATTACGTATCCCTGCACTCGTAGTTTATGAATCCGTGTTAAATTACAAAAATCTATTTTTCGAAGGTGTGTTTAAAAATTGAGATTTTTGAAAATTTGACAAAAAATCTACAGAAAATTCTAGATCTCAACATGCTAATTCAAAAATATAAAGAATTTAACGTCCCAGTTTAAAAACCAAATCTTTTACTAATCCTAAAAATTCACATATTTCTAGAAATTCTGAAAAATGGTAGGAATTTTCAAAAAAAGTAAGCCTAAAATGACTCCTAGGGGTTGAATTCTTCAAAAAAATGTCTTCAGCTAATTTTTGAAGATGGTGGAAGAATGTCAGTTTTTCGTTTTTACAATTTTTCAGTTCCTCGAGATTTCAATTTTTCAATTTTTTTCATTGTTCGAACTTCCAATTTCCAGTTCCTGATTTTTAGTTTTACTATTTTTCATTTTCTATATCCGCCAATTTTTACAGCTTTCAACCTTAAATTTTTCAATTATCGACTTTTCAGCTTTTGAATTTTAAAATTTTTTGATTTTTCAAAAAATTTTTCCTTCAATTTTTCAATTCATAATTCTTCGGATTTATTTTTTTCTTAATATACATAGTATTCTTCGAACAACACAATACTCAAAAACATGTTTTTCATTTCTCGTAGAGAAATAAGGATTTTGCAGTTAAGCTCCGCCCTTTTGGTTCACGACGAATAAAAAAATCATCACAATTGAGATAGGGTGGGTGGGCGGGGCTACATTTTGCCTGTTTTTTTTAGTATGTGTAGACTTATTTCGACAACAAGAAACTTAAAACATGCCTAAAATCGTCAATTTTTGTAGTAATCAATTTAAATCCTCCACTTTTCTTCTATAATCTCTTTAAATACGGCAAAAGTTGAACATCAAAGTCAAAGTCAATGGCAACTTGGCAACGGAGTTTATAAATAAAACATAAATCGCAGGCCATCCCCTGCTTTGCCTTCTATCTCCTTCTTTGATTTTTTTTCTGTGTCCGTTTTCAAAATTTTCGAAAAACTAGATATATAAAATAACGTAAAAGACAGTATCAATTTGTCGAAAAATTAATGCGAAAGTTTCTGGAAAAAATACAGTTTGCCATTATGCTCACTTAAGTTTGAGTAGACAAAAATTCCAATTTACGATAAATTACTTGTATTCCTGGTTACCAAAATCAAATTATGATTATGATGACCATCAAATCACTGATTTGTTTAATAAAAATATTGTATATATAATTTTCATAGAGGGTATCTTCTTCTTTCTTATCTGGCAAGTTCTAGCCCCGCCCACCCACCCTTTATTTTCTTAGAAGGTGTCATTTTTCAAAATCAGTCGTATCTTAGCAATTTCTAGCCCCGCCCACCCACCCTCTATTATTTTAGAGTATACATCATCTTCCAAAATCAGTCTTATCTTAAGAAATCCTTAAATCTGCAACAACACATTTTATTTATTTATTTATTTATTTATTTATTTATTTATTTATTTATTTTTCAAAAATTGATATATCCTTATTTTATAGAATTAATTTCACAACTAGTTTTCCGATTTGAATTGCGCAACATTAATAATTTATACTTCCATATAAATAAACAATTTTTAAAACATTTTTACATTTTTGAACTTTATTTTATGAAAACCCAACACGAACTAATCGATACAGGAAGAGAACTCGAAAAGAAAGTTTTAACACATCAAATTTTTTTTGTATAATTCAAACAACAAATTTGTTTTTCTTACAAATTTTAATTTCTTTGCTTCCAAAAATGCACATTCATGATGAGAGACGCTATATAAAGCATTCAGATTTCCTCAAGCTCCTATTTAAAAAATAAATGGTGGACGTAATTCCAAAGATTCGCAAAAAAACCATTTGATTTAGTCGCATCGGTACTCATATTCTTCTCTATCCAACCAACGTAATTGGAAACTTTGACGAACACTCCTGGTACTCCTTCTAGCCCACATTTTCTGGTACTCCACGAAACAATACCAACTTGAGTACCGTCGACTATCAAGGGACCACCAGAGTCGCCCTAGTTACGTACTTCACGTTACTAATTTTTCAAATTTCAGACACTGTAATCTTACATTACATATGCCTTTACTCCCTTGAGGTACCCCTGCGCAAATATGGTACCATTTACTTGCAGAAAACATTGAAGTTTCACATTTCGTGTCGGAGTAAACCTCAAGATAGACTTTTTGGAGATCGCTAGCAGCTAAACCTCCAGTCTGAAATAAATGAGTCAGAAAATAAATACCAAAAAGTACCACAATACAGATAAAAGTCCCCATCCTGCCACTACAGCGGTACTACTTTCAGGAACGGTACTTGAAGCCTTTGGTAACTTTGTCGGTTGCACGTTCGTACCAAATTTAAGAGATTCTTTAAGCTGAAATTATAAACTAGAAGTTATTTTGTTTCGTGTTTTGTAGTACCTCTACGAGGGCCACATCGTTTCGAGCTCCCATTAAAATAACCACCGGTAGATAATTTTCGTGTGGGATAAGTCGAGAAACGCCTATCACATTAGGAGCATTTGGTCCCTCGATTATGTGGGTTAAACCATACTGTACGTTGTAGTTAATCACGTTTCTAAAAAAATAAAATCAGTTTTTGGTACTACCGAGTGTAAAATTTTCACAATTGGACACAATGTGCTGCTGTTAGGAGAAAATTTTCGTTTAAAATCGTCGCACCACAAGTGTGTTTGTTATTATAACGTAGTGAAACCTGGAAATTAAGTGTAGCTAAAAAGGTAAAGTGGTAGATAAAGGAGTTACGATTTGTGGAAATTCGTTCTGGTAAGTATTCACACCGTTAACAATACGTGGATTTAATGAGGAACCTAAACACACTGTCATAATAAAATTAGTTAACTCAGTGGTAATTTTACCTGAAACTAAATTTATGAGAAGCAAAATGGTAATTACTTCGTACAGCATTGTTGCTAATTCTGACGACTGAGTGTCACAACAGTCCGGTGACAACTAACATTTATAATTCTACGAATGAAGATTTACTTTTTCATAAATTTTCCGCGATAAGCGTGACAGTTGGTAAATAAATATCTGATTGTTGCTTGCTATTTTATTTACAATAGTTCGTCTTAAATACATCCTTATACACTTAAAATTACTCTAAACCTATTTTTTCCCTTATCCAGTCAATATAAGTAGAAACTTTGGTAAAAACTCCGGGATACCCCTTCACCGTGCAGGGCTTCACCGACCATGACACAATACCAACCTGGACACCATCAACCATCAAAGGACCACCGGAATCCCCCTATTAAACAAACTCAACATCATTCCACAAACTTGTAAATAACTTACACTACATTGGCCTTTACCGCCTTGAGGTACCCCGGCGCAAATATGACAAGTCCTGTTCGTGGGTCCTGTCTGTGCGTGAATCCTTTCGCAGTCGTCGTCAGGATAAACATAAATGTAAACTTTTTGTAAATCTTCAATCACAAACCCTCCGGACTAAATATAAATCAAAATAAACTACCTATTTGCACATTAGAAAAATCAAAGACTTACGTATGGATAACCCCATCCTGAAAGCATGGCGAGGGAGTTTTCCGGAGTACTATTAAAAGCTTTGGGTAGTCGTACTGGTTGTGCGTTTGAATCGAAAGTTAGTTTTTGTTCGAGCTAAAAAAATCGGGTGTTTTGGTTGTTCAACTGATATTTGGTTTATTTGCCTCTACTATAGCGACGTCGTTGATGTACCCATTCCCGGGGGTGTAGTTCTCGTGTGGGATGAGTCTGGTGACGTTAATTACATTAGGGGCGTCTGCGCCACGAATGATGTGGGTGAGACCATACTGGACGGTGTAATAACGAATCGGACTAAAAAAAAATCAAAATTGTATATTATTGTCTTTCTGATTTGTAAATTTAATAAAGTACTATTGTACGCAGTGAGCCGCTGTTAGCAGGTACTTTTCGTTTAAAATTGTGGCACCGCAGCTGTGACTATCGGCAACTCTGAGAGACACCTGGAACAGGTATGCTAGACAAGAGAAAATTGTGATTTTGTTTTACCGACGATTTGTGGGATTTCGCCAGGTTTGGCGTCTGTACCGTTGACTATGCGTCCGTTGAAAGGAGACGCTAAAATTCAGTTCTAGAATAACGTTTTATAAAAATTAAGGTCTTACCAGTGGTTGCCAGCACGAGACAAACAGTTATAATTGCTTGGAACATTTTTTCGAACTGCAGTGAGCAAAAATCCTGCTACTTTTATATGTACAAAAATCGAGCGATGATTGCCATTTACTTGTTTGTAGAGTCCACTTGAAGCTTGCATCATTTTTTGTTTTTTTGAAAAAGTATTGTTTTATTCATACGGAAAATGAGTGAGTAAACAATGTTATGCGTGAGATAGATTTTTTTAAATTTGCTAAGTCATAATTCTGTTGATTTTTATGTTTATGCACTTGAATCGAATTTGTTAAGGTTATCTTTACAAATAATACGTCGTCTGGTTGATTTTGAATATTTTCTTTTTGTTTATTGCAAAAGTTGTTACCCTATTTTATACGTCACGAATTTTCAACCAATTTTCAACGAAATTTTCGAAATTTCACTAGACACATTTTCTTGTAGATTTCCAGTCGCAGAAGTCATTTCCGCTTTCATTTCTCCGATTACTCCATTGATTTTTCCAGAATCGTCCTTTGAAATATACAAAAATATGCAAAATACCCCCAATTTTCGACCAATTTTCAACGAAATTTTCGAAATTTCACAAAATACTTTTTCTTGTAGATTTCGGGCCGTAGAATTCACTTCCGCAAACATTTCTTCGATAACTCCATTGGTTTTTCCAGAATCGTCCTTTGAAATATACAAAAATATGCAAAATACCCCCAATTTTCGACCAATTTTCAACGAAATTTTCGAAATTCCGCTTGATACATTTTCTTGTAGATTTCGGGTGGCAGAAGTCATATCCGCTTTCATTTCTTCGATAATTCCCTTGGGTTTTCCCCGATCGTCTTTTGAAATGTCCAAAAATACGCAAAATACCACAAATTTTCGACCATTTTTCAACGAAATTTTCGAAATTCCACTTAATACATTTTCTTGTAGATTTCGGGCCGCAGAAGTCATATCCGCTTTCATTTCTTCGATATCTCCATTGGTTTTTCCAGAATCGTCCTTTGAAATATACAAAAATATGCAAAATACCCCCAATTTTCGACCAATTTTCAACGAAATTTTCGAAATTTTACAAAATACATTTTCTTGTAGATTTCGAGCCGTAGAAGTCATTTCCGCAAACAGTTCTTCGATAACTCGATTGGTTTTCCCAGAATCGCCCTTTGAAATATAGATTTAATGCAATTTACCCACTAATTTTCCATTAATTTTCATCAAAATTTTCCAAATTTTACAAAATACATTTTCTTGTAGATTTCGGGCCGTAGAAGTCATTTCCGCAAACAGTTCTTCGTTAACTCGATTGGTTTTCCCAGAATCGCCCTTTGAAATATAGACTTAATGCAATTTACCCACTAATTTTCCATCAATTTTCATCAAAATTTTCGAAATTTTACAAAATACATTTTCTTGTAGATTTCGGGCCGTAGAAGTCATTTCCGCAAACAGTTCTTCGATAACTCGATTGGTTTTCCCAGAATCGCCCTTTGAAATATAGATTTAATGCAATTTACCCACTAATTTTCCATTAATTTTCATCAAAATTTTCGAAATTTTACAAAATACATTTTCTTGTAGATTTCGGGCCGTAGAAGTCATTTCCGCAAACAGTTCTTCGATAACTCGATTGGTTTTCCCAGAATCGCCCTTTGAAATATAGATTTAATGCAATTTACCGACCAGTTTTCCATTAATTTTCATCAAAATTTTCGAAATTTTACAAAATACAATTTCTTGTAGATTTCGGGCTGTAGAAGTCATTTACGCAAACGGTTCTTCGATAACTCGTTTGGTTTTCCCAGAATTGCCCTTTGAAATATAGATTTAATGCAATTTACCGACCAGTTTTCCACCAATTTTCAAAAAAATTTTCGAAATTTTACAAAATACATTTTCTTGTAGATTTCGGGCCTTAGAAGTCACTTCCGTAAACATTTCTTCGATACCTCGGTTGGTTTTCCTAGAATCGCCCTTTGAAATATAGATTTAATTCAATCTACCGACTAATTTTCCACCAATTTTCATCAAAATTTTCGAAATTTTACAAAATACATTTTCTTGTAGATTTCAGGTCGTAGAAGTCACTTCCGCAAACATTTCTTCGATAACTCGATTGGTTTTCCCAGAATCGCCCTTTGAAATATAGACTTAATGCAATTTACCCACTAATTTTCCATCAATTTTCATCAAAATTTTCGAAATTTTACAAAATACATTTTCTTGTAGATTTCGGGCCGTAGAAGTTACTTCCGCAAACATTTCTTCGATAACTCGGTTGGTTTTCCCAGAATCGCCCTTTGAAATACAGATTTAATGCAATTTACCCACGAATTTTCCACCAATTTTCATCAAAATTTTCGAAATTTTACAAAATACATTTTCTTGTAGATTTCGGACCGTAGAAGTCACTTCCGCAAACATTTCTTCGATAACTCGGTTGGTTTTCCCAGAATCGCCCTTTGAAATATAGATTTGATGCAATGTACCGACCAATTTTCCACCAATTTTCATCAAAATTTTCGAAATTTTACAAAATACATTTTCTTGTAGATTTCGGGCCGTAGAAGTCACTTCCGCAAACATTTGTTCTATAACTCGGTTGGTTTTCCCAGAATCGCCCTTTGAAATATAGATTTAATGCAATTTAACGACCAATTTTCCACCAATTTTCATCAAAATTTTCGAAATTTTACAAAATACATTTTCTTGTAGATTTCGCGCCGTAGAAGTCACTTCCGCAAACATTTCTTCGATAACTCGGTTGCTTTTCCCAGAATCGCCCTTTGAAATATAGATTTAATGCAATTTGCCGACCAATTTTCCACCAATTTTCATCAAAATTTTGAAATTTTACAAAATACATTTTCTTGTAGATTTCGGGCCGTAGAAGTCACTTCCGCAAACATTTCTTCGATAACTCGGTTGGTTTTCCCAGAATCGCCCTTTGAAATATAGATTTAATGCAATTTAACGACCAATTTTCCACCAATTTTCATCAAAATTTTCGAAATTTTACAAAATACATTTTCTTGTAGATTTCATGCCGTAGAAGTCACTTCCGCAAACATTTCTTCGATAACTCGGTTGGTTTTCCCAGAATCGCTCTTTGAAATATAGATTTAATGCAATTTACCGACCAATTTTCCACCAATTTTCATCAAAATTTTCGAAATTTTACAAAATACATTTTCTTGTAGATTTCGGGCCGTAGAAGTCATTTCCGCAAACAGTTCTTCGATAACTCGATTGGTTTTCCCAGAATCGCCCTTTGAAATATAGATTTAATGCAATTTACCCACTAATTTTCCATTAATTTTCATCAAAATTTTCGAAATTTTACAAAATACATTTTCTTGTAGATTTCGGGCCGTAGAAGTCATTTCCGCAAACAGTTCTTCGATAACTCGATTGGTTTTCCCAGAATCGCCCTTTGAAATATAGATTTAATGCAATTTACCCACTAAGTTTCCATCAATTTTCATCAAAATTTTCGAAATTTTACAAAATACATTTTCTTGTAGATTTCGGGCCATAGAAGTCATTTCCGCAAACAGTTCTTCGTTAACTCGATTGGTTTTCCCAGAATCGCCCTTTGAAATATAGACTTAATGCAATTTACCCACTAATTTTCCATCAATTTTCATCAAAATTTTCGAAATTTTACAAAATACATTTTCTTGTAGATTTCGGGCCGTAGAAGTCATTTCCGCAAACAGTTCTTCGACAACTCGATTGGTTTTCCCAGAATCGCCCTTTGAAATATAGATTTAATGCAATTTACCCACTAATTTTCCATTAATTTTCATCAAAATTTTCGAAATTTTACAAAATACATTTTCTTGTAGATTTCGGGCCGTAGAAGTCATTTCCGCAAACAGTTCTTCGATAACTCGATTGGTTTTCCCAGAATCGCCCTTTGAAATATAGATTTAATGCAATTTACCCACTAATTTTCCATTAATTTTCATCAAAATTTTCCAAATTTTACAAAATACATTTTCTTGTAGATTTCGGGCCGTGGAAGTCATTTCCGCAAACAGTTCTTCGATAACTCGATTGGTTTTCCCAGAATCGCCCTTTGAAATATAGATTTAATGCAATTTACCCACTAATTTTCCATTAATTTTCATCAAAATTTTCGAAATTTTACAAAATACATTCTCTTGTAGATTTCGGGCCGTAGAAGTCATTTCCGCAAACAGTTCTTCGATAACTCGATTGGTTTTCCCAGAATCGCCCTTTGAAATATAGATTTAATGCAATTTACCCACTAATTTTCCATCAATTTTCATCAAAATTTTCGAAATTTTACAAAATACATTTTCTTGTAGATTTCGGGCCGTAGAAGTCATTTCCGCAAACAGTTCTTCGATAACTCGATTGGTTTTCCCAGAATCGCCCTTTGAAATATAGATTTAATGCAATTTACCCACTAATTTTCCATTAATTTTCATCAAAATTTTCGAAATTTTACAAAATACATTTTCTTGTAGATTTCGGGCCGTAGAAGTCATTTCCGCAAACAGTTCTTCGATAGCTCGATTGGTTTTCCCAGAATCGCCCTTTGAAATATAGATTTAATGCAATTTACCCACTAATTTTCCATTAATTTTCATCAAAATTTTCCAAATTTTACAAAATACATTTTCTTGTAGATTTCGGGCCGTGGAAGTCATTTCCGCAAACAGTTCTTCGATAACTCGATTGGTTTTCCCAGAATCGCCCTTTGAAATATAGATTTAATGCAATTTACCCACTAATTTTCCATTAATTTTCATCAAAATTTTCGAAATTTTACAAAATACATTTTCTTGTAGATTTCGGGCCGTAGAAGTCATTTCCGCAAACAGTTCTTCGATAACTCGATTGGTTTTCCCAGAATCGCCCTTTGAAATATAGATTTAATGCAATTTACCCACTAATTTTCCATCAATTTTCATCAAAATTTTCGAAATTTTACAAAATACATTTTCTTGTAGATTTCGGGCCGTAGAAGTCATTTCCGCAAACAGTTCTTCGATAACTCGATTGGTTTTCCCAGAATCGCCCTTTGAAATATAGATTTAATGCAATTTACCCACTAATTTTCCATTAATTTTCATCAAAATTTTCGAAATTTTACAAAATACATTTTCTTGTAGATTTCGGGCCGTAGAAGTCATTTCCGCAAACAGTTCTTCGATAGCTCGATTGGTTTTCCCAGAATCGCCCTTTGAAATATAGATTTAATGCAATTTACCCACTAATTTTCCATTAATTTTCATCAAAATTTTCCAAATTTTACAAAATACATTTTCTTGTAGATTTCGGGCCGTGGAAGTCATTTCCGCAAACAGTTCTTCGATAACTCGATTGGTTTTCCCAGAATCGCCCTTTGAAATATAGATTTAATGCAATTTACCCACTAATTTTCCATTAATTTTCATCAAAATTTTCGAAATTTTACAAAATACATTTTCTTGTAGATTTCGGGCCGTAGAAGTCATTTCCGCAAACAGTTCCTCGATAACTCGATTGGTTTTCCCAGAATCGCCCTTTGAAATATAGATTTAATGCAATTTACCCACTAATTTTCCATCAATTTTCATCAAAATTTTCGAAATTTTACAAAATACATTTTCTTGTAGATTTCGGGCCATAGAAGTCATTTCCGCAAACAGTTCTTCGTTAACTCGATTGGTTTTCCCAGAATCGCCCTTTGAAATATAGACTTAATGCAATTTAGGGGAACCCGGGGTGGAACGGGGTACCGGGGCGGAATGGGAAAGCGCCACGACGCTCGCCACAAATGACGGAGACACATGAGCATCACGCACAACGTTGTGTTCGCTGCGCCGCATTATATGGAGTGGTCGTTGTCAGTGTGAGAGTGCGTTTGATTTGGATTCTATCGAAGGTCAACAAAAAAGCTTGCGAATTCTAAGTTTTGCTATGCGACACAAAGGTATTTACATTGTACACTATTTTTTGTTCGGAAATGGACATTATATGTTTGCTTCAATATACTTTTGGCTATCCAAAACTGTATTGATAACTCGAGTTCAACAAACATAACCTCCCATAATACTGATGTGTATGTGAGCGGTGCTTCGGGGCGCAATGGGTGGGGCACAATGGGGTATACCCCATTCCGCCTCTGATCATATTTGTACTTCTCATATTAGTAGGTATTATTGTTCCTACTGCAGATGGTGCGTACATATATAAAAAAAACGAGCCGGTAGTCCTGGTCTACGGATGCTATGAACCAAGCTGTGGATGCGGTTATTAGTGGACAAGTGGGATACATGATGGCATCTAACCGATTTAACGTGCCATCATCAACACTGGAGCGATATGTTCAGAAAAGACGGAAGAATCCAGGAGCTGATAAAACGTCAGGAAAATATCACACTGTTTTCACTGCTGAGCAAGAGCCAGAGCTTGTAGCTTACTTGAAAGATATGCAAAAACAACTCTTCGGCATGACTATGAAAGAGTTTCGTAGACTAGCATATCAGCTAGCAGAAAAGAATAATTGCAGCCATAAGTTTAACAAAACTTTGGAAATGGCGGGAGAAGACGGGGTTAGGGGCTTTTTGACGCGTCACCGTGATTTAAGCCTTAGAAAACCAGAAGCAACATCTGGAGCAAGGGCTATGGGTTTTAACAGAGTAGCTGTATTGCCATGATTTATACTCTAACTCCAATGAAGGCTGGTGTTGTTGTACTATCTGTAAGAAATGGGCACATTTGACGTGTGCTGGTCTAGACAGTGATGACGATGAAAGTGTTCACATCTGTGAGCTGTGCCAATAATTAGTACCCCATTGTACCCCGGGGAGTGGGGCAGAATGGGAAATTTCCCTTTTTTTTTCAAACATAAATTTTTAATAGTAATTATTAATTTAGATAAGTTTAAATACAGAGTCTTGGTAGAAAAAAGATTAAATAAACCTACAAAATGGCAAATAATTGTGTAGTTTCATTCACGCTCTCACAAATTGCAACCAAAGCTTAGGTATCCCGTTCCACCCCGGGTTCCCCTACCCACTAATTTTCCATCAATTTTCATCAAAATTTTCGAAATTTTACAAAATACATTTTCTTGTAGATTTCGGGCCGTAGAAGTCATTTCCGCAAACAGTTCTTCGATAACTCGATTGGTTTTCCCAGAATCGCCCTTTGAAATATAGATTTAATGCAATTTACCCACTAATTTTCCATTAATTTTCATCAAAATTTTCGAAATTTTACAAAATACATTTTCTTGTAGATTTCGGGCCGTAGAAGTCATTTCCGCAAACAGTCTTCGATAACTCGATTGGTTTTCCCAGAATCGCCCTTTGAAATATAGATTTAATGCAATTTAACCACTAATTTTCCATTAATTTTCATCAAAATTTTCGAAATTTTACAAAATACAATTTCTTGTAGATTTCGGGCTGTAGAAGTCATTTACGCAAACGGTTCTTCGATAACTCGTTTGGTTTTCCCAGAATTGCCCTTTGAAATATAGATTTAATGCAATTTACCGACCAGTTTTCCACCAATTTTCAAAAAAATTTTCGAAATTTTACAAAATACATTTTCTTGTAGATTTCGGGCCGTAGAAGTCACTTCCGTAAACATTTCTTCGATACCTCGGTTGGTTTTCCTAGAATCGCCCTTTGAAATATAGATTTAATTCAATCTACCGACTAATTTTCCACCAATTTTCATCAAAATTTTCGAAATTTTACAAAATACATTTTCTTGTAGATTTCAGGCCGTAGAAGTCACTTCCGCAAACATTTCTTCGATAACTCGATTGGTTTTCCCAGAATCGCCCTTTGAAATACAGATTTAATGCAATTTACCCACGAATTTTCCACCAATTTTCATCAAAATTTTCGAAATTTTACAAAATACATTTTCTTATAGATTTCGGGCCGTAGAAGTCACTTCCGCAAACATTTCTTCGATAACTCGGTTGGTTTTCCCAGAATCGCCCTTTGAATTATGGATTTAAAGCAATTTACCGACCAATTTTCCACCAATTTTCATCAAAATTTTCGAAATTTTACAAAATACATTTTCTTGTAGATTTCGGGCCGTAGAAGTCACTTCCGCAAACATTTCTTCGATAACTCGGTTGGTTTACCCAGAATCGCCCTTTGAAATATAGATTTAATGCAATTTACCGACCAATTTTCCACCAATTTTCATCAAAATTTTCGAAATTTTACAAAATACATTTTCTTGTAGATTTCGGGCCGTAGAAGTCACTTCCGCAAACATTTCTTCGATAACTCGGTTGGTTTTCCCAGAATCTCCCTTTGAAATATAGATTTAATGCAATTTACCCACGAGTTTTCCACCAATTTTTATCAAAATTTTCGAAATTTTACAAAATACATTTTCTTGTAGATTTCGGGCCGTAGAAGTCACTTCCGCAAACATTTCTTCCATAACTCGGTTGGTTTTCCCAGAATCGCTCTTTGAAATATAGATTTAATGCAATTTACCGACCAATTTTCCACCAATTTTCATCAAAATTTTCGAAATTTTACAAAATACATTTTCTTGTAGATTTCGGGCCGTAGAAGTCACTTCCGCAAACATTTCTTCGATAACTCGGTTGGTTTACCCAGAATCGCCCTTTGAAATATAGATTTAATGCAATTTACCGACCAATTTTCCACCAACTTTCATCAAAATTTTCGAAATTTTACAAAATACATTTTCTTGTAGATTTCGTGCCGTAGAAGTCATTTCCGCTTTCGTTTCTTCGATAACTCCAACCGTTTTTCCAAAATCGCCTTTAGAAATTTAAATTCAGTGCAAATTACGACCAATTTCGTCGAAAATTGGTAGTAATTTGCATAGATTTTATACCCCAATAATAAAAACAGATTTTTTTTTAAATAAACTCAATAAAATATGCAAAACTTTATTAAAAATTTTATACAATCAACTAGTTATTTTGTCTTTAATCCAGTCCACGTAATTGGAAACTTTGGCAAACACCCCTGGATACCCTTTCACCGTGCAGGGCTTCACCGACCATGACACAATGCCAATCTGTACCCCATCAACTATCAAAGGACCACCAGAATCACCCTACAACACAATTCATACAATAATCCTTTCAAAATCGTCCATTTAAACCCACTCACGTTACATTGTCCTTTACCACCTTCGGGAACTCCTGCACACACGTGCCTGGACCAATGCGTAGGTCCCGTCAAAGCATGAATCCTTTCACAATCGGCATCAGGAAACACCAAAATGTTCACTTTTTGAAGATCCGTCATGACGGAACCATTCGTCTAAAAAAGAACGATTCAATCTATGTTCATAAGTCAGAAAGACTATACAATACATATGGAAGCCCCCATCCTGCCAACAAAGCGATAGAGTTTTCTGGGGTGGCATTATAAGCCGGTGGTAGCGTCGTTGGTTGAACATAGGGACCAAGAGGGAGAGAATCTTCAAGCTCTATTACGGCTACGTCGTTCACGTACCCATTCCCAGCAACATAATTCTCGTGTGGTGTAAGTTTAGCAGCTTTGATCACATTTGGAGCGTCTTCTCCAGAAATAATGTGGGTTAAACCATACTGGATACTGTAGCGATCAACTGGACTACAAGAAATGGGTTGTTTTTTTTATGATAGATAGTTATTAAATTTTGTTACTTACTTCTGGACACAGTGAGCTGCCGTTAAGAGATATTTTTCGTTGAGAATTGTAGCACCACAGCTGTGTCTGTGATTAACCCTTAGAGATACCTACAACGGGGATAAATCAAAGACTAAAGATTGAGTGAAACTTACTAACAATGAATGGAACGTCCCCTGGATCGGCGTCTGTACCATTTACAATCCGTGAGTCAAGTGGTAGCGCTAAGGGTAAGAATAAATCAGAAATGGTGTTAGACTTTTTGAATATAATTACCAGAAGCTCCCACCAAGAGACACAAGGTAATTGTCGCCCAGAACATTTTGTTGAATTAAACCTTGCCAAAATTTGTGGGCTTTTTTATACCCAAATCAGATGATGGTTTTAGTAGGTGCTATTATGGGATTTGTAGTGCGATTAATTCAAGTTAGTGGTGTTTTTGCACCGTCATTGCGTCTGTTATTCCACTAAGTGTAAAAAAGACCATTGAGAATGGTTTTGCTTTCAAATGTACGCACTAAGAAATTGACTCGTGTCCCAATTTGTTACTATTTTTGCGATCATTGCAATTTTAATAAAATAACACGACCGAATATTTAGTCTAGCCGTGTTTTATTATTGAACGAATCGTGCTATTATATTACTGATAAATCATTTTTTAGAGGCTGTCGTAAATTAAGCGATCACACGATATCCATTTTATCAATTATTATTATTAATTAAAAATTTACTGCATGACTACAATGACTATTATTTGGAAACATATTCACAAATACAAAATTTATATAACGGGAAACTTGTTTGTTTAGTTCAAACTATGTTGTATACATTGATTGCGATAATCTCAACTGAGATGATTGTGAGAAAAATTACGAGTGGTTTGAACGTATCGGAGTAAACAAAGATTTCAAGCGATAACGAACATTACATTAATGGGTCTTTCTGTAAAGGTCAGATGAACTCAATCGCAACACTCATTCTATAAAAATTTTTCGCATTCTGCGACTCGGATATTGCGTCTTGGGTAAAAAATCGGTGGGAGGTTATTTCGTCAGAATTTCACTCGCCCTTGAAGTAAAACCCAATAATCCCGCTTCCTTGAAAAATGATAAAAATCATCGCAAAATCAAATTTCATAATTTTTCAAAGAGGCGGAGTTGAGTTAGTAATCTTCGACCAATTTTTTTTATATTCTGGGGGTTGTGCCAAATGGATTCTATTACAATACTTGTTTAACTGACAGCTTTATTGTCTAAGTTAAACGGAACACTCGATATGTTTGAAAATACTTTCAAATTAAACTTTAAAATTAAATATGTTTTGCTAATGAATAATGTTGCAGTATTTTAATTAAGATTCATTTTCCTGTGCGATGCATCGATGGAATAAAAACTCTGCAAGAAATTACTGATAAGGTGTCGGCGAGAATTGTTTGTTAATTTTCGTGTTATGCAAAGAGTTCAGTCGGTTTCGACTTTGTTGAGGTCGTACGTGTGCGGTGCGCAAATTAATTTGTTTAAGTGATTTATTTTTGTTAAAAATAATTTGATTTCGCGCCTAAAGTGAAGGGTGAGTGTTGCGATGTGCCCATGAGGAAGGAGTCTGCAAATTTCATGTGTTTTTTGTTGTAAATAGAGATGAGGGAATTCGCTAAATTGTAGCAGAAGTAGAAGCCCTAAAGGTTAGAATTTCGCATGAATTTTAAATTGGGTGTTTCTTTTGAACATTTTTTTATCTTTTGTGAAGGCTATTTCGATTGGTAATTTTGTCTTAATTTTGTTTTATCAATTTTTTCGATTTTTCGAGTTCACTTTTTTATTTTTCGATTTCTGAATTTTTCAATTTTTTAATTTCTCAGTTTTAAGTTTTTTCAGCTTTTCTTTCATTTTTGAAATTTTCTAAATTTCAGTTTTGGGATTTTTCACTTTATTTATTATTCAATTTATCGATTTTACAATTTCTCAATTTTTCAATTTCACGATTTTCAATTTTACGTTTTTCCAATTTTTTTCCTCTTCAATTTTACGATTTTTATATATTTTGATATTTACATTTTTCAAATTTGACTTTTATAAACTCTGTTTATCGATTTTTGAATTTTTCAGTTTTTCTATTCTTCAGTTTTTCTTTCATTTTTCAATTTTTCAAAATTTCAGTTTCGGAATTTTTCAAATTATTCAATTTTTCAATTTCTCAAATTTCCGATGTTTCAGTTTTACGTTTTTTCAATTTTTCTCCTCTTCAATTTTCCGATTTTTAAATAAAATATTTTGATTTTTCAATTTTTGATTTTTCTAAATTCTCAGTTTTTCGATTTTTCAGGTTTCTGATTTTTCTATTTTTTCTGGTTTCGGTTTTTCAACTTCTCTTTCTTGATTTTTCGGTTTCTCAATTTTTCAATTTCTCAGTTATTGGATATTTCAGTCTTAGGATTTTTGAGTTTTACATTCATTTTTCAATTTTTCGAAATTTCAGTTTTGGAATTTTTCAAATTATTCATTATTCAATTTTTCAATTTTACAATTTCTCAATTTTTCAGTTTTTCGATTTCTCAATTTTCCGATTTTTCAGTTTTACGTTTTTTCAATTTTTCTCTTCTTCAATTTTATGATGTTTAGATATTTCGATTTTTCAATGTTTCAGGTTTTTGATTTTTCGCTTTTTCGATTTTTCGCTTTCACGTTTTTATTTTTCGATTTCTTAATTTTTAAATTTTTTAATTTCTCAGTTTTTGGATATTTCAGTTTTAGCATTTTTCAGTTTTTTTTTCATTTCTCAATTTTTCGAAATTTCAGTTTTTTGATTTTTCAGTGTCTTTTATTATCCAATTTTTTGATTTTACAATTTCTCAATATCTCAATTTCACGTTTTTCAATTTTTCGATGTTTCAATTTTACGTTTTTTCAATTTTTCTCCTCTTCAACTTTACGATTTTTAAATATTTCGATATTTCAATTTTTCAAATTTGACCTTTATAAACTCTCAATTTATCGATTTTTGAATTTTTTAAATTTTTATTTTTTTGATTTTTCAAATTTTTAAGGTTTTGATTTTGCTATTTCCCTTTTTTGAGTTTTGATTTTTCAATTTTTGACATTTCTAAGTTCTCAATTTTTCGATTTGTCAGGTTTTTGATCTTTAATTTTTCTATTTTTTCAGGTTTCGGCTTTTTGACTTCTCTTTTTGATTTTTCGGTTTCTCAATTTTTCAATTTCTCAGTTTTGGGTATTTCAGTGTTAGGATTTTTCAGGTTTTCATGCATTTTTCAATTTTTCGAAATTTCCGTTTTGGAATTATTCAGTTTCAATGTTTCAATTTTACGTTTTTCCAATTTTTCTCCTCTTCGATTTTACGATTTTTTTTCGATATTCCAATTCTTCAAATTGGACTTTTATAAGCTCTCAGTTTTTCGATTTTTCATTTCTTCGATTTTTCAAATTTTTAGGTTTTTGATTTTTCAATTTTTTAAGGTTTTGATTTTCCGATTTCACTTTTTTGACTTCGATTTTTCACTGTTTTAATTTCTCAGTTTTTGGATACATATTTAAGTTTTGAGATTCCATTCTTCAGTTTTTTTTTCATTTTTCATTTTTTAACTTTTCTAAATTCTCGATTTTTCGAATTTTTTCTTGACTTTCGACTGTTTTGATTTTCTAGTTCGTCAACTCTTCAATTTTTCAATTTTTTGATTTTTTGATTTCACTTTTTTGACTTCGATTTTTCAATTTTTTAATTTCTCAGTTTTTGGATACATCTTTAAGTTTTGAGATTCCATTCTTCAGTTTTTTTTCATTTTTCATTTTTTAACTTTTCTAAATTCTCGATTTTTCGAATTTTTTCTTGACTTTCGACTGTTCTGATTTTCTAGTTCTTCAACTCTTCAATTTTTCAATTTTTCAGGTTTTTGGTTTTCATTTTTTCGATTTTTTTTAAGATGTCGATTTTTCGACTTCACTTTTTTGACTTTTCGATTTCTCAATTTTTCAATTTTTTAGATTCTCAGTTTTTGAATATTTCAGTTTTGGAATTTTTCAGTTTTTCCATTCTTAAGCTTTCCTTTCATTTTTCAATTTTTGGATACTTAAGTTTCGGGATTTTTCAATATTTCGATTCTTCGACTATTAGATTTTTGACTTTTGGATTTTTCGATGTGTCGATTTTTTTATTTTTTCAATTTTTAAGGTTTTGATTTTCCGATTTCACTTTTTTGACTTCGATTTTTCAATTTTTTAATTTCTCAGTTTTTGGATACATATTTAAGTTTTGAGATTCCATTCTTCAGTTTTTTTTTCATTTTTCATTTTTTAACTTTTCTAAATTCTCGATTATTCGAATTTTTTCTTAACTTTCGACTGTTTTGATTTTCTAGTTCGTCAACTCTTCAATTTTTCAATTTTTTGATTTTTTGATTTCACTTTTTTGACTTCGATTTTTCAATTTTTTAATTTCTCAGTTTTTGGATACATATTTAAGTTTTGAGATTCCATTCTTCAGTTTTTTTTCATTTTTCATTTTTTAACTTTTCTAAATTCTCGATTTTTCGAATTTTTTCTTGACTTTCGACTGTTTTGATTTTCTAGTTCTTCAACTCTTCAATTTTTCAATTTTTCAGGTTTTTGGTTTTCATTTTTTCGATTTTTTTTAAGATTTCGATTTTTCGACTTCACTTTTTTGACTTTTCGATTTCTCAAATTTTCAATTTTTTAGATTCTCAGTTTTTGAATATTTCAGTTTTGGAATTTTTCAGTTTTTCCATTCTTCAGCTTTTCTTTCATTTTTCAATTTTTCAATAATTCTTCAGTTTCGGGATTTTTCAATATTTCGATTCTTCGGCTTTTAGATTTTTGACTTCTGGATTTTTCGATGTGTCGACTTTTTTTATTTTTTCAATTCTTTCTTTCTATTTTTGAATTTCAGATTTTCCAATTTTTTTGATATTTTAATTTTTAAATTTTTTAAATTTTAGATTTATCGCTTTTTCGATTTTTCATTGCAGTTCTTCGAGATCTCAATTTTTCATGTTTTCGGATTCCCAGTTTCAGGTTTTCTGTTTTTCAATATTTTGTTTTTTCAAATTTTCGATTTTTTAATTTTTCATTTTTAAAATTTTTCTATTTTTCAATGTTTTGATTTCCGGATTTATCGAGATTTGGATGTTTCGATATTTTGATTGTTCAGTTTTCAATTTATAACTTTTCGATTTTTATTTTTCCGTTTTTTCGTTTTTTTATTTTTCGGCTTTTAGATTTTTCGATTTTCCAATTTTTCAACTTTTAACTTTTCGTTTAAGATTTTGGCCTATTTCGGTTTCTCAATTTTTGGATTTTTCGACTTCTGACTTTTCAATTTCTCGATCTTTTGATCTTTCGATTTCTTGATATTTCAATTTTTCGAATTTTTACATTTTTTGATTTCTTGATTTATCGAGATTTGGATGTTTCGATTGTTCAAATTCTCGATTTATCAATTTTTAACTTTTCGATTTTTCGATTTTGGCCTATTTCGGCTTCTCAATTTTTTTATTTTTTGACTTCTCGATTTCTCGATCTTTCGATTTTTTTACGTTTCGGTTTTTCGATTTTTCATTTCAAGTTTTCAAATTTTTAGATTTTTGATTTTTCAATTTTTTAGTTTCTCAGTTTTTGGATACATATGTATTTCAGTTTTGAGATTTTTCAGTTTTTCCATTCTTTAGTTTTACGATTTTTAAATATTTCGAGATTTCCATTTTTCAATTTTTGACTTTTCTATATTCTCAATTTTTCGATTTTTTTCTTGACTTTCAACGGTTTTGATTTTCCAGTTCTTCAACTCTTCAATTTTTCAGGTTTTTGATTTTTGATTTTTCGATTTCTCAATTAATTTTTCAGTTTTTTGGATTCTAAGTTTTTGGATATATCAGTTTTTCCATTCTTCAGTTTTTCTTTCATTTTTCAGCTTTTCGATATTTCAGTTTTGGGATTTTTCAATATTTCGATTCTTCGACTTTTTGATTTTTGACTTCTGAATTTTTCGATGTGTGGTTTTTTTATTTTTTCTATTTTCAATTTTTCTATTTTTGAATTTCAGATTTTTCAATTTTTTGATATTTTAATTTTTCAATTTTTAAAATTTTAGATTTATCGCTTTCTCTTGTTTGCATGTTTTCGAATTCCCAGTTTCAGATTTTCTGTTTTTCAATATTTCGTTTTTCCAAATTTTCGATTTTTTAATTTTTCATTTTTAAAATTTTTCGAATTTTTAAATTTTTTTGATTTCTCGATTTATCGAGATTTGGATGTTTCGATTGTTCAATTTCTGATTTATCAATTTTTAATTTTGGATTTTTTGATTTTTGCCTATTTCGGTTTCTCAATTTTTTGACTTTTTGACTTCTCGATTTCTTGATCTTTCGATTTTTACTTTTAGGTTTTTCAATTTTCCAGTTTTTCAACGTTTCGATTTATCAATTATCCGATTTTTCAATTTTTCGATTGTTAATTTTGGAATTTCGATTTCTCGATGTATCGTTTTTCGGTTTTTAAATTTTAGATTTTTGAATTTTTAATTTTTTCGTTTTTTTGATGTTTCGATTTTTCTTCCTTTTAAATATGTGAACGAATCGTAGGAGTCTTTGGTGCTTCGTTTTTCATATATTTGAAAGAATCTTCGAGGTTTTTAGTGTCTTTTTCAGAATGTGAAAGAACTTTAGGTTTCCATGTATTTTTTAAAAATCAAACTAGATAATTTAGTAAAGTTTAAAATCCTTGAAAATTACACAATTAAAAAAATCGTTAGAGAAGGCTAAATATTTTTATTTGAAAAAATTGGATCACTTAAGGAGGTCAAGTGTATTTAACTCCGCATTACTAGTTTTCTGCGTAGTTTGTGACTTTATCAGACGCAAAAATTATTATTTTATTAACTATATTGTACACATAGAGTACGATAAATCCGTCTCAATGGAGATGATTGTGGGAAAAAATTACAAGTGGTCTGGAATGTGTTGGTCTAAACAAACGCTTCAGCGCCGATAAACATCAGACTTGCGAGAATTTTTTCTATAAATTTGGATGAACTTAGTTGAGAGGTTCATTCTAGAAAAATGGTTTGTCGAAAAATATTTCTCCTCGTTTTCCCAGTCTTAGCTGCATCAGGTAAAAATATATTTTTAACTTGGGTACTTAATAGTAATTTTTTTACATCAGGATTCACACTAAACGGACGAATCGTCAACGGCACGACCGCCAAACCGGGAGAAGTACCACTAATCGTGGGTACACTTCGTTTAATTTCATAAGCTGACGCTTTATAATTTTTCCTGTTTAAAAAAAGCTAGTCAGCTTATGGAAATAAGCCACCAGTTTTTAACACTTAAAATTCATCCAGGTGTCCCTAAGACTCGCCGACATCCACCTCTGCGGGGCCTCAATCCTCACCCGAACCCACCTCCTCACAGCCGCCCACTGCGTCCAAAAGTTCGTAGCCGCCCCCAGAACCCGTAATCACCCCGTTTTTTAGTTCTGTTTCTTACTACAGCGTTCAGTTCGGTTTAACACACATCACTTCGGGGGAGGATTCCCCAAACGTAATCAAAGTTTCCAGACTTATCCCACACGAAAATTATACTCCCGGGGACGGATATGTAAATGATGTGGCTCTTGTCGAGGTGAATTTTCACACAACAGTGTGCTTAAAGTGCCTAAGTGCAAATTGTTGCAGCTCGAGACGCCTCTAATTTTTGATTTGAACGCACAGCCGACGAAACTTCCGGACTTGTTTGACGCTACCCCGGAATACGCCCCGGCTTTGTTGGCGGGTTGGGGTTACCCTTACGTGAGTTGAACGAGTTAATTTTGCGAGTGTTGAGGGGGTTGTTGCAGTCGTATGGGGAGATTATTGAGGATCTGCAAAAAGTCGAGGTTTACGTGTACCCGGATGCGGAGTGTGAAAGGGTTCACGCACTGACGGGTCCGACTAATAGGAGTTGTCATCTGTGTGCGGGTGTGCCGGGGGGAGGTAAAGGGCAGTGTAGTGTAAGGTTTAAGGGTGAGAGATGGTTTTTTAGAATTGAAGGGTGGATTGGTTTGTAGGGGGACTCGGGGGGGCCGCTGATGGTTGATGGGGTTCAGGTTGGTATTGTTTCGTGGTCGGTGAAGCCTTGTACCGTTAAGGGATACCCAGGAGTGTTCACGAAAGTTTCGAGTTATGTGGACTGGATTAGAGAAAAGTTACATATGGTGGAATAACTTGTCACGAATATGTTTTATATTAAATACATAAATTTTAAGTTTGTTGTTCAATAATCATTTTCTAATTTTCTGAACTACTTATCGTTTGATTTCCCTTCCCTTAAGTAGACTTCAACAAATCCTGCTTCTTTGAAAAATTATAAAAAATGTTTGCTATTTTTTAACCTTTATAAAGTAAACACCAAGTGCACAATTTTTTATTTCTTCCATTTCTTCAATTTTTTGTTTCGGCTTTTTATGTTTTTTATTTTTCCATTTTTAGATTTTTCAATGTTCTGATATTTTTTTATGTGAAAATTTTCAGCTTTTGAATTGTCCAATTCTTTGATTTTTCAACTTTTATATTTTCAAATTTTTTATTTCTTCAATTTTCCTAGTCTTCATTTTAAACAATATATTTTTTTAATTTTCGATTTTTCAATTTTACAATTTTAGAATTTTTCCATTTTTCAATTATTGAATTTTAAAACTTTTGTATTTATTTGACTTTTCAATTTTTCGATTCTTCAAGTTTTCGATTCGTTACGTTCGATGTTTCCCTTTCTGGATTTTTTAATTTTTCGATTTATTAATTTTTCGATTTTTCGTTTTGATTTCTCAATTTTTTGGATTTTCGATTTTTCAATTTTTGGTTTTTCTTTTTTTGTTGTTTCGATTCCTTGAATTTTTGAATTTTTCAATTTTTCATTTCTTAAATTTTTCGATTTCCAATTTTTGGTTTTCAATTTTTCAATTTTTAGAGTTTATTCTTCGTTTCTTTAATTTTTGATTTTAAATTTTTACAGTTTTCATTTTAAATATGCAATAGTAATTTTTAAAACTTTTCACTTTTTGAATTTCACAATTTTAGAATTTTTCAATTATTGGCTTTTAAAACTTTTTCATCTGTTCGACTTTTCAATTTTTCCACTTTTTCATTTATTCAAATTTTCGATTAGCAATTTCTCGATGTTTAAGGATTTTTTAATTTTTCGTTTCTTCAATTTTTTTGATTTTTCAATTTTTCGATTTATTAATTTTATAATATTTCAATTTAGTAATATATTTCAATATGTTAATTCTTCAGTCTTTCTATTTTTTGTTTTCATTTTCTAAGTTTTTGATATTCCGAATTTTAAATTTTTCAATTTTTTAATTTTTCAATTTTTATTCCTCCAATTTTTCGATTTGGAATTTTTCATTTCGCTAGTTCTTCGTTTCGTCTTTTTATGTTCTTTATTTTTTCATTGTTAGATTTTTCAATGTTCTGATTTTATATATTTTTTTATGTGAAAATTTTCAGTTTTGAATTTTCCAATTTTTTGATTTTTCAACTTTTATATTTTCTAATTTTTATTTCTTTAATTTTTAATTTGAAATTTTCCAAGTCTCCATTTTAAATACGTAACAATATATTTTTTAATTATTCAATTTTTCAATTTTGCGATTTTAGAATCTTTCCATTTTTCAAAACTTTTTCTTTTATTTGACTTTCCAATTTTTCGATTCTTCAATTTTTTTTCTTCTGATTTTCGATTCGCCACTTTCGATGTTTCCCTTTCCAGATTTTTTAATTTTTCGATTTGTTAATTTTTCGATTTTTCGTTTTGATTTCTCAATTTTTTATACTTTCGATTTTTCAATTGTTGAGTTTTCTAAAATTTAGATACTTTTTTCGATTTTTGTTGTTTCGATCCTTTGAATTTTTTAATTTTTCAGTTCTTCGATTTTTCGATTTGCAATTTTTCGTTTCGGTTTTTATATTCTTTATTTTCTCCATTTTTCGATTTCTAAGTGTTCTGGTTTTATAATGTTTCTTTACTTCAATATGAAAATTTTCAGTTTCTCTATTTTCAATTTTTCGATTTGCAATTTTTGGTTTTCAATTTTTCAATTTTTAGAGTTTCTTATTCTTCGTTTCTTTAATTTTTGATTTGAAATTTTTATAGTTTTAATTTTAAATATGCAATAATAATTTCTAAAACTTCATTTTTTGAATTTTGCAAATTTAGAATTTTTCCATTTTTCAATTATTTAATTTTAAAACTTTTTCATGTATTCGACTTATCAGTTTTTCGATTCTTCAATTTTTCATTTCTTAAAATTGTCGATTCGCAATTTCTCGATGTTTCAGTTTTAGGATTTTTTAATTTTTCCGAATTTTCAATTTTTTTTGATTTTTCAATTTTTCGATTTATTAATTTTATAATATTTCAATTTAGTAATATATTTCAATATGTTAATTCTTCAGTCTTTCTATTTTTTGTTTTCATTTTGTAAGTTTTTGATATTCCGAATTTACAATTTTTCGATTGTTTGACGTTTTGATTCCTTGAATTTTTCAATTTTTTAATTTTTCAATTTTTATTCCTCCAATTTTTCGATTTGGAATTTTTCATTTCGCTAGTTCTTCGTTTCGGCTTTTTATGTTCTTTATTTTTCCATTGTTAGATTTTTCAATGTTCTGATTTTATATATTTTTTATGTGAAAATTTTCAGTTTTGAATTTTCCAATTTTTTGATTTTTCAACTTTTATATTTTCTCCTTTTTTATTTCTTCAATTTTTAATTTGAAATTTTCCAAGTCTCCATTTTAAATACGTAACAATATTTTTTTTAATTATTCAATTTTTCAATTTTACGATTTTAGAATCTTTCCATTTTTCAAAACTTTTTCGTTTATTTGACTTTCCAATTTTTCGATTCTTCAATTTTTCATTTCTTCTGATTTTCGATTTACCACTTTCGATGTTTCCCTTTCCGGATTTTTTAATTTTTCTAAAATTTAGATACTTCCAATTTTCAATTTTTAGATTTTTTTTGTTTATATTCTTTGAATTTTTTAATTTTTCGATTTTTCAATTTTTCATTTCTTCAATGTTTCGATTTGGTGTTTCTAAAATTTAGATACTTCTAATTTTCAATTTTTCGATATTTTTTGTTTCGATTCCTTGAATTTTTTAATTTTTCGATTTGCAATTTTTGGTTTTCAATTTTTCAATTTTTATAGTTTTTTATTCTTCGTTTCTTTAATTCTTGATTTGAAATTTTTATAGTTTTCATTTTAAATATGCAATAATAATTTTTAAAACTTTTCACTTTTTGAATTTCACAATTTTAGAATTTTTCCATTTTTCAATTATTGGATTTTAAAACTGTTTCATTTATTCGACTTTTCAGTTTTTCAATTCTTCAATTATTCATTTCTTCAAATTTTCGATTAGTAATTTTTCGATGTTTCAGTTTTAAGATTCTTTAATTTTTCGGTTCTTCAATTTTTCTCTAATTTTTCAGTTTTTCGATTTATTAATTTTATAATATTTCGATTTAGCAATATTTCAGTATGTTAATTCTTCAATCTTTCTATTTTTTGTGTTCATTTTCTAAATTTTTGATATTTCGAATTTTTAGTTTTTCGATTTTTTGACGTTTCGATTTCTTAAATTTTTCAATTTTTCAATTTTTCAAATTTTTATTCCTTCAATTTTTCGATTTGCAATTTTTCTTTTCGCAGTTTTTTGTTTCGGTTTTATGTTCTTTATTTTTTCAATTTTTTGGTTTTTGATTGTTTTGATTTTGTAACTTTTTTTTCAATGGGAAATTTTCAATTTTTGGATTTGTCAATTCGCAATTTTGCAATTTTTCGGTTTTCAATTTTTCGATTTTTCAGCTTTTAGAGTTTCCAATTTTTCGTTTTTTAATTTTTGGTTTGAAATTTTTCTAGTTTTCATTTTGAATATGCAATAATAATTTTTAAACTTTTTCATTTTTTCAATTTTACGAATTTTCCATTTTTCGATTTCTAAGTGTTCTGGTTTTATAATTTTTCTTTATTTCAATATGAAAATTTTCGATTTCTGTATTTTTCAATTTTTCGATTTGCAATTTTTGGTTTTCAATTTTTCAATTTTGAGAGTTTTTTATTCTTCGTTTCTTTAATTCTTGATTTGAAATTTTTATAGTTTTCATTTTAAATATGCAATAATAATTTTTAAAACATTCCACTTTTTGAATTTCACAATTTTAGAATTTTTACATTTTTCAATTATCTAATTTTAAAACTTTTTCATCTATTCGACTTATCAGTTTTTCGATTCTTCAATTTTTCATTTCTTAAAATTGTCGATTTGCAATTTCTCGATGTTTCAATTTTAGGATTTTTTAATTTTTCCGAATTTTCAATTTCTTTTTGATTTTTCAATTTTTCCATTTATTAATTTTATAATATTTCAATTTAGTAATATATTTCAATATGTTAATTCTTCAGTCTTTCTATTTTTTGTTTTCATTTTCTAAGTTTTTGATATTCCGAATTTTCAATTTTTCGATTGTTTGACGTTTTGATTCCTTGCATTTTTCAATTTTTTAATTTTTCAGTTTTTATTCCTCCAATTTTTCGATTTGGAATTTTTCATTTCGCTAGTTCTTCGTTTCGGCTTTTTGTGTTCTTTATTTTTCCATTGTTAGATTTTTCAATGTTCTGATTTTATATATTTTTTTATGTGAAAATTTTCAGTTTTGAATTTTCCAATTTTTTGATTTTTCAACTTTTATATTTTCTCCTTTTTTATTTCTTCAATTTTTAATTTGAAATTTTCCAAGTCTCAATTTATATACGTAACAATATATTTTTTAATTATTCAATTTTTCAATTTTACGATTTTAGAATCTTTCCATTTTTCAAAACTTTTTCTTTTATTTGACTTCCCAATTTTTCGATTCTTCAATTTTTTTTTCTTCTGATTTTCGATTCGCCACTTTCGATGTTTCCCTCTCCGGATTTTTTAATTTTTCGATTTATTAATTTTTCGATTTTTAGTTTTGATTTCTCAATTTTTTATACTTTCGATTTTTCAATTGTTGGGTTTTCTAAAATTTAGATACTTTTTTCGATTTTTTGTTGTTTCGATCCTTTGAATTTTTTAATTTTTCAGTTCTTCAATTTTTCGATTTGCAATTTTTCGTTTCGGTTTTTATATTCTTTATTTTCTCCATTTTTCGATTTCTAAGTGTTTTATAATGTTTCTTTACTTCAATGTGAAAATTTTCAGTTTCTATATTTTCAATTTTTCGATTTGCAATTTTTGGTTTTCAA